CCAACTTCAACTGCCCGCGCATGGACAGCGTGGGTGCTGCCGGACTTGAATTTTCTGGAATTAGCAGACAAGTCGATAATTTGCATGCCGCGACACAGTCGTAATGGCAACTGACTAACTGGTAAGGAGGACCGTCATTTATTTATTGGTCAGTGGTCACTATGGTCCATACTGCATGGTGTGTTTCGTTGTTGAGATAATTTCGGATAAATAAAACTGTGAGGGCAAATCTTTAGAGTTTAGAAAACAATAGTAAAGTAGGTTTACTTCTGCAAGGAAATAGGATTAGCCTACCATTAGTACCGTAGTTGTTGAACTTAACTTCAGTTGAAGTACAAGTAGCCTACTCAGACACTTCAGGGAGTCAGGGTAGGAACCTGGTCCTCAGTCCTCACAAGTCTCAAATTAACTCTCAATACACCAGGGCCCAGATCCCAGACCATGGTACAGACTACAGTAACACTAACAGACTAACAGTCTCGCAGAATTAGCAGAAATATTGGATAATGAAAAAGCAGAGGGGTTGAAACTTGAACAAGTTGGAGAGGGAGACATGATTGTGTGAGATTCTGCATGTGACCTATTTAGCTTAGTTTTAGGAAGTGCTCAACCTGTCAACCACGGTCAACCTCAGTGGGGGCAGCAAACAAGCACCCTCCCACAGTCTTAACTCTTACGGTACCTACAGGGCCGTACAGGCTACAGACACAGATGGAGTCTCAGACTCTCAGAGACCTGTTGGAGACCACCACTGGCCACTGCCGTGCTTTGAATGGACTATCATGATCCCTTCCCTGAAGAACGTAGCCTTCAACACATCTTGACTGTAATGTTATCAGCCGCACGCCACCAGAGACCAGACAGATCACATCCATTGAATTAGACTTCAAAGTTACCCCATTTTACGGTATGCCGGGCGTGTACGCCAATAACGTGATTTTAGCTCTTTGTACGCCTCGTTGTATGCCAGTAGAAGGGCTTGGAGCCTCATTTACGCCGGATTAATCCGCGGAAAACGGCACCATCCTGGGTATGGAATTAGATCAATCTGCCCACAGGAAAATAAGCCTGGCGTCGTATGGCCCAGCGTCGTCTGCCTACACGCGAAAAAATTTTGCACCACACGGACGGAGCGCGCCGGAGCCGCCCGTATCTGTCCCGTGTGTCGAATCAGCCCACGGTCGAACGGCCACGCATCGTTCGACGATAAATTTTTTAACAGAAGTTACAGAACTATGCTATCTGGAACCTAACCCCAGATGCAGTGAGCTAAAAGTTACGTAATTTAGCAAAGCTGTGGAAGTCACTCGCCGGCGGATGATAGAGTTTTGAACAGAACTATGCTTTCTGAAACCTAACCTTGGATGTTGAGCTAAAAGTGACGGTCTGGTGGTGCACGGCAGGATGCATGCAGTTCCACTGGTAACCTGGGCTGGTTGGTCACAATCCGTTGTCCGCAAGTTACAGTTCGAGCTAAAGTCAGGCCACTGTCAGGGTATGAAGTGATGATTCGATGCAACATTCAGTGGTGCATAACCATTACTCTCTGGGCTATTCGCTTCAGAATACAGTGGCGTAAAGCTCCTAATATTTAAAGCAACATGATGTCACGGGCTGGTTACCGACGGATGGCTTAATCCGCGGCTGATTGGTGGTCATCTGGAAATATGCTAGGCGTTCCTTTCAAGTTTCAAGGCTGATTGGTGCACAAATTTGGTGGTGCACGGCTGCGTACCCGACACAGACAGTACTGGTAAATCTACTAAATCACTATTCACTACAAGTATACAATCAGGTGTTGCTTGGTCAGCCTTGGTGAATGGTGATATGCTTGGAGGAGATGAGAGTTTGTTTCCAGTCATGAGGGAAATAATGGCAAATCTACTGTCAGTGTCAGTCATAGCCTGATCAAATCTTTGGTTGATATTAAAATATGTAGCAGCTGTAGAGTGTAGCCTGTAGGTATGTGAAAAAATTTTTTTTCTCTGATCTTGAAGAAAATTATATGGCCGAAAAGAATAAATTAGAAAAATATCATGTAAATATACATTATACATAATTGGAATACAAATAAAAGTGAAAAAGCCATGAATTTTTTCTTCATTAAATTATGTCCCAAAAATGAAGATATTTTTGGCACTTTTTTGGTAAAACTATCATTTCTAGGTTTTCTATAAGCCAATTTCAAAGATTTAAGAACCATTAGAAAGACCCATTTGGTTCAAAATTGGTTGTAGACTATCTATTCTAACTAAAATAAAACCTTTTACATTTGAAACTGCAGGTGGGTTGGGGAAATGGGTGTGACCGTGTGACTAATAGATATGAATAGTAATATAAATTAATCAAAAGGCTTACAATTAGAACACTTAGGTGATTGAGTATTCAGTATATTGTTTGGGCAGTTTGCAACATGATGGGAGCCTGAGAAAATCATACAGTGCTCTTTACCCTTACAGTGTGCAGCATTGTTGCCAAAGTCCTGGACTCCTGGAACTTGAAACATTGCTATGCTTGGTCTCTGAACAATCTTACCTGGAAGCATTGATAACCAATGCTTACATATTCTGGTAATAACTGGCCAAAGAAAGTTAGTCTCAGAGTCTTGGTCAGAGGGGCCTTTTCTTTGCCCTTTGTTATCCTGGATACTACTTCCACAGCTGGTTCAGTATCTGACAGTAACTGAAGAAGTTACATTGGGTCAGTTCCATTTCTAATGGGTCCAATTACTCCATAAATTAAAATGCTGCAAAAACTCTTCCCCTATTTGATAATGAATATAGTTGCTTTCAAAATGTTGTAAATTATGATAAATGTCCCTTGGAAACCTCATATTTGAATTTTAAAGTCCTGTCAAAAGTCTAATTTATGTAATAGAGAAAAAAATAAAGAAAATTGTCAAAAAGAGATTGAATCTGGTCTACAATGAAACCTGTGTGTATAATATTGTAGCTAAATTTTGCAGTTTAGTTAAAAATTAAACAAGAGATCTGTCATGTACATCCAGCCTCATTGCATGAATCTTGCAGCTCTATAAATTCTGGGAAACTTCAATCATGGCTTGAAAGAAGATATTTTCCTCACCTATGTGTGAATCGTTAATCATGAATGAGCAAATCTCGTATGTTTTACCAAAGGCTGAAAATCTTTTCTTCTATCACCAAGCCTGGCTGTAAAGAATATCATGGCATTTTAGCTACTTGATGCAATCCTCTTGTTTAAAATCTGTAAATAAGCAATTTTCAGTTGCAGATTTAGTTTTATTTTGCAAATGCTTCATAATGAGTACAAGTCAAGATGCCGGAGAAATTCGGCGCTTGGATGAAACAGTTGTAAATCGCATAGCAGCTGGAGAAGTTGTTCAGAGGCCTGCCAATGCACTCAAGGAGTTGCTAGAGAACTGGTGAGTGAGGTGCAGTGGCAGCTTACTGCTTCATTACATCTTTACTATGAATATAATCATCATATTGAACTTGGATTTCCCTCTCAGTAATGACCTTATAAGGTTGATAAATTACCTGATATTCTATTATCTATAATGTAAATTATCCAGTGATGATGAAAAATTATTTCTATCACAATTTCCCTTAAATTTCATGGAAATATGTTATCTAGAGTACCAACCAAATCTTTTCTGACATCAAGTCATCATGTTTTAGAATTCCCCTCAATTGTACTACAGTAAATGACTACAACCATTCCTCAAATGGCAAGCACTGGATCATCCCTTTTAATGATTTTAACCAATTTCACCCAAACTATTCCTTTGAGATATAAAAATTCAGTTGAAGATAATTTAATATATATATATTTTTTTGCATTTAAATATATAATACCGTACTTTTCTCATGTCTAGCTTGGATGCCAAAAGCACACAAATCTCAGTCATAGTGAAACAAGGAGGGCTTAAAATCCTCCAGATCCAGGACAATGGCACAGGTGAGATGAATTCATATTTCAGACTAGCATCCTTTTTTATCTGTGTTTTAGAGATTAGCCTTGAATAAATGCAGGTATCCACTAATGCTGTTAGATAATTTTTATTGCATGTATTTACTATTATTTATAGCCACTTAATGACATTACCTTGTGTTGTTAATCTCCATTTATTCAGCTCCTTCTTCTCTCATTTACTTGAAGAGGACTTCAATATTCACTTCATTACTCACAACCAGATGTGCAGGAGCTGGAAAACAGGAAGGCCATCAATGTAAAGGCTTTAGTTTTTTTTTTAATTTTCAGCATTTATTCTGTTTATGAAACTAAAAATGTTATCACCTGATTAGTGAGAGAGGAAATGTTGGTAGATATTGCCTAGTAAAAGAGGCTACTTGCATCAAGAGACTCACTGATGCTTCCTGTCTAGACTTGTCAATTACAAGCTCTTGTGAGAGTCCTTTGTCAACTCAATTTTATGATATCATAAATCAACTGGCCCAGTTGTCATGCAACATGCCCACAACCAGTACTATGGTATATCATACTAGTTTATCCATTTTTCCCAGTATATCGTACTGGAAAAAAAGAACCTAAAAGACTTTTTTGTCTTCTCAAATTATCACTTCGTCATCACCTACGCGCGATCCAAATCCCGCCCTTAGCAATTCTTCAACCTCTGTAGCTGAATGTGCATTTCAAAGTTTCTTCTCAAATGAGTGCAACAACCCCACGAATTCTCTTTGCACTGCGACAACCATCATCAGTGGGTTTACCACCAACAGAGTGGATCAACTTATCACCTCTACCACCCTCACTCCTTGCTGTTATGCTACTACAACCATTACTACCCTAACCTACTTGGTTGGCCCGATAAGTTGATGTCCATTACCTTCAATGCAACCTTATCAAAACTAAACCCTTTCTGAAATACCCACAATCTTGGGGCTACGAATGTGAATACGGTATAATAATTGAGGTTACTAATGTCTTTGCAATGTCTCTGTTGGCACATCTATGCTCGATTTTTTTTTGCAGTGTCTATTTTCTATTACTATTTGGGCCCATGTTTATTTATGCAACGTTTCATTTCATGTTGAAATATAGGTATAAATTTTACCACGGTGTTCTTCGGGACGGATCATTCATGCTTTAAGAATCCCGAATCCAGATTCACGAATTATGTCATTCCAATTCCCGTTATTCCAATTCCCGTCATTCCGATTCCCGTCATTCCGATTCCCGTCATTTCGATTCCCGTCGTTCCGATTCCCGTCGTTCCGATTCCCGTCGTTCCGATTCCCGTCGTTCCGATTTCCGTCCTTCCGATTCCCATCCCGATTCCCATCATTCCGATTCCCATCAGTCCGATTCCCGTCATCCCGATTCCATCATCCCGATTCCCATCATTCCGATTCCCATCAGTCCGATTCCCGTCAGTCCGATTCCCGTCATTCCGATTACTCGTCGTTCCGATTACTCGTCGTTCCGATTCTCGTCGTTCCGATTCCCGTCGTTTCGATTCCCATCGTTTCCATTCCCGTCGTTCCGATTCCGATTATCGTAATTCATTCCGGTTCCCGTCGTTTCGATTCCCGTTGTTTCGATTCCCGTCATTCCGATTATCGTCATTCATTCCGGTTCCCGTCGTTTCGATTCCCGTTGTTTAGATTCCCGTCATTCATTCCGGTTCCCGTCGTTTCGATTCCCGTTGTTTCGATTCCCGTCATTCCGATTATCGTCATTCATTTCGGTTCCCGTCGTTTCGATTCCGTTGTTTCGATTCCCGTCTTTCCGATTGATTCCCTTCATTCCGATTCCCTTCATTCCGATTTCCTTCATTCCGATTTCCTTCATTCCAATTCCCGTCATTCCGATTCCCGTCATTCCGATTCCCATCGTTCCAAGTGCAATTTTCCCTAATCCAGTTGATAATATCGAAACTACATAACGCAAATTAAATAAAGTCCCGCTCGAACCCTGTTTTGCAAAGAAATTCCATTTAAATCCTCCTTTTGGCAATAAATGGGTATTAGAATTTTTAATTTTTGAATTTGATACCGGTACCCAAGTTAATTACATTTTAATTCATTAGTTATTAAATTAATTATCCCTATTTTCCTATTTAACCAAATTTCTTATTAAATAAATAATATTTCATGACTAGGTAATACCCTGACACGATAAGTATCGTGGATACACACTTGAACAGCCCCTGATAATTGCCCGCCCCAGGCTTCAAACAAACACGGCAACTAATAATCTTTGGCAAATATTTAACAAAATTTATCCATTGTCTTGTGTATGTTTCGAATAATCTAGTAAACAGGAATATTATTGATTGACCTTTCGGATTTTCATGTGCAGGTATCCGCAGGAGTGACCTCGGGATTGTTTGTGAACGTTTCACCACCAGCAAACTACGCGAATTCAATGACCTGAAACAGATCAGCACTTATGGCTTCAGGGGTGAGGCACTCGCTTCCATCAGTCACGTCGCCCATCTCACCATCTTGACTAAAACCAAGGATGATCAATGTGCTTGGAAGTGAGTGATGAATTATTTCATTTTAACCCTGAAACTGTAGCCTTAACTTGAAAATGTGTGTAACTCGATTGGTTAGAACTGTAAGAGAATTGGACGAACGTGATTGTGATGATAAAGAGCATTAATGTATAAATGGTTCTTTCACTTCACAATCCGTTACCCCAACTATTAGCATTATTTATTTCCTATTAAATACAATTGAAATTATCAGATATATTCTCATTCCTTAGAAAAAAGCACTCATTTACATTTTTCGTCCACATGTCATAAGGCCAACAAATTGTGTGATGGAAAGAAACCTCTTCCAGATGCACATACTTGGATGGCAAGCCTAAAGCTCCACCGAAGCCCTGTGCTGGCAACCAAGGCACGCAGATCACTGTAGAGGACCTCTTCTATAACATCTCCATCAGGAGGAAAGCTCTTCGCAGCCCGGCTGAGGAACACGCTCGTATTGCTGAGGTCTATTCTAGTGACTTTTTAGTCCAATTTTACCAATTGTAACTGTTGTTAACTGTTTTATTAATTGTTTCTGTTGTTATCTGGTTTCTATAGCGTGGCGATAAAAAAAATTATCGATGAATTTCATGTCCGTTAGCTATAGGTAGCTGTTCAAAGATTCTTGGTCTCAGGCCTCTTTAAATGTGTAGGAAACTAAGATACATTTGTTTCTGGAATATTTCGCAGAGCATGGTTTTCTTGCAAGAAGTTACTGTTATAATAGTTACGACTATACCTGGAGTATGATTTAATTTTTAGCGCATTTTCTCATTTATGAAAAAAATGCACTATTGTGCTCGCCATGTCCGTCCGTCCGTCTGTCCGTCCGTCTGTCTGTTCGTCCGTGATTTCACGTTTTCGTCCACGAGAGAATGCGCTCTCTGTCACTCACTGCAGTGAGTACTGAGTTATATTTTTTGAATAAAGTTGTATGAAAAGTCTACCTGAACTCGAGAACCGTTTTCAATTGCTATTTGGCTTCCATGTTAATGTTTATCAGGATCATATGTTCAGTCCAGGATGAGAACAACTACGTATTATAATAATTTAAGTACCTATTGTAATTTTATATGAATTTGTATTTTGGTGACATAATTTGATCACAGCATATTTGGTTTTTGAAGTCAGGAGTGTATACAGATTCTAATTATTGACGCGTACGGCAGGTAGTGAGCCGATATGCCGTCCACAACGCAACCGTGGGCTTCAGTTTGAAGAAGCAAGGAGAAAACTCCGTGGACCTCCGCACGCCTCCCAACTCCACGCCAGAGGAGAATATACGCATTGTTTTCGGCAGCGCCATTGCAAATGAACTTTTGCCAGTACGTAGAGGTCAATTTTTAATAAATACTATCGCATGCTATGGGTTCAAATATGAGATTCTCAGTTAGTGTCCAATTATGAGTTCCTATAGTTTTATCGTTTGTATTTATTGAATGCTGCAAGACGCAAGTACCACTACTAGGAAGTTACTGTTATTCTAGTTCCTACTTGGACCATCGTTACACCACCAACTATAAACTCCCAGTGCCGTTTCTATTACTATAGTGAACTTCTATGCTGAATATGCTGACATAATTTGACCTGAGCGCGACAACCTGTGTTGACTGTCAAGTAGGCTGTCTCAGACACAGAATATCTAGAATATTTTGGTCGTTACTTACGTGGTGGACAAAAACGTATTAATTAAACAATTAATTCTTTGCTGTCCCCGTTGCTTATTAACTAAACAACGTAAAACAATTTTTTAGCATTTCGAGTCTCGCCCTTTAAAGATGATATTTGTGCTTTATTGTTACTGGTTTTTAATGATGAAATTATTCACAAATTTTCAGATATCGTTTTCTGATGAGCGGCTGCAAGTGAAATGCTCAGGCCTCGTTACGAACGCAAACTACTCCTGCAAGCGGTGCGTCATGCTGCTCTTTATTAACCACAGGCTTGTAGACTCCGTAGGTCAGTTCACTTCCTTGTGTTTGATTTCATTTCTTTATCATTTATTTATTTTATTTTCCATTTACACATGATGGCTTCGTAGTGTTTGATTTCGTGTTACCTCCAACTTCAAGTATAAAAAGAACATCAATTTGAAATAAATCCAGTTCTGAGATAAGAATAAAGATATTTTTCTGTATAATACATTTATGATTTTAGCCATAATATTATTGTTTATCTGTACCCAGGTATACGTAAAGGCATAGAAGGCGTATATGCAGCTTACCTGCCCAAGCAGACACATCCTTTTATTTATCTCAGCCTGGAAATAGCTCCCCAGAACGTTGATGTCAATGTACATCCTACCAAACATGAGGTACGGTTTTGTAATCTTCGTATTTACGATACAGAGAGAATATTTGTGGGTTAGTGCTGGTTATGACCCACACAGTAAACATGATCGGATATGAAAATATACTAGATCATCTGGTACGTTATTACTGTGTAAATTAATAACAATGTTGTCTTTAAAAATACATATTAAGCTATGAAAAAATTGTGTAAGTAATACCCTTAGCAACGTGAGCACCTGTTGAAGATTAGATCTAATAAATAATCGTTATTTAAGATATGAATAAAGAAATGATATTAGAATATAACAGGTCTCAGATAATAACAAAGAAACTTATTCTAAAAACCTAAAGCTAAACTAACGAACCTGCTTTGACAATCAGGCTAAAGAGAATGACTAACAATTTAAATGTGAAAACGACGTTAACTTTCTAAACGGTGTTGCCAAGGTAACGGGAAAGTTATAATTTATTGGAAAATAAACTCGGTAAATGTGTAACCCTACATATTAACTCCAGTTATTTCCATAGGCTCGAAACTTTGGGTGTGCGAGACTGAGATTTTTTATCCGCAATGATGTTTGGAAGTGTTAAAGTGTGATTTATAGTTTATTAACTGATGGATCACTGATGATTAAAACTTTTTGTTGGAATTTTTCGTTAATTGTTTGATGTAGATTTAATAGCAAGCTCAGAATGGCCTTGTAAATTCGCAGGTGTGCTTCTTGCATGAAGAGGCCATTATTGAAGCTGTGTCTAAAGCTGTCGATGAGAAGCTGCTTGGTGCTAACCAGTCCAGAACATTTTACACTCAGGTCAGTCCCGATCAATTAACCGTCCAGGTACACTCAGGTCAGTCCCGATCAATTAACCGTCCAGGTACACTCAGGTCAGTCCGATCAATTAACCGTCCAGGTATTAACTATCACTCAAGTTTGACTAACACAAGTCGATTATAAATTCCGTCTTCAGTGCATAGAAAACTTATAACTACTTTGCATCGTGGAAATCACAGGCATGGACAAGATCTAAATGGTCTTCATTGTAGGACTGCAAGAGAATTTTTGTGATGCTTTTCATGTTAGAAATTACCCTCTATTTTTTTATACTGATAGGAAGCACCTTGAATTATCATTATGAGTGCTGACTGTGCTGCCAGTGCTTACAGTTCTGTAACTGTAAATTTTGTGAAGGTTGGTTATGTTTTTCATCTTAAATCAGGCCATACTATTTTATTGAGACTTCATTTGTTGTGGGCGCTCCTTGACTTAGTATGTATTTTGTTCACCAGTCTCTGCTGCCGGACGCCGCTGGCCTGGCAGGGGGCGGCGCTAAAAAGTCCCTCACTGAAGCCCGCCCCAAAGACGACGGGGGTCGCGTCTATGACCACAGCCTCGTGCGCACCAACGCAAAGGACCAGAAGCTCACCAAGTTCCTGTGCAGGTCTGCCGCAAGATCTGCTCCTTGATTGTAGCAAAAGTCTCAATCCTTTCTGTACAGTCGGTAACTCTAGCTGTCATGACCGGGGAGACGAATAGTATTGATGACGTCAAACGTAGCCATTGAGAAAGAATTAAATATTTTTTTCTCGAGAAGGTTGCTATGCCTTCAGATACAAAAAGTATCGACAACGGTTAATTTGTCCGTTTTCAAAGAATTTACCCTTTATTATTTTTCAGAGATTCACTTGACGGCGGAATTTCATTGAAATTCTGAGTATTCATTCTGAGTAAACTGTCTAATTGCCCCCCCCCCCCCATCTTTGCTGTTTTTTGTTCGTGTTTGCATCGCTGGATTTTTAGTTGTTAACTTTTCATTAATTCCGTGTATTTTAGTTGTTAACTTTTCATTAATTCCGTGTATATCATTATCTAACATTCCTTATAATAATCTTTTTAATTCATACTTAATTGCTTCTTTTATATGCAAAGTTTGTCCTGTGTCAACGTTGACTGTGAAGCCTTGTTACAGGAACGACAACGATGACTCGGACGCTGCCAAGCTGCAGGCTACAGCTTCTGCCGCGACAGCGTCTTCATCGCCAACACCTGAGTCGTCCACTCGGTATATTTAAATGCCAATGTTGCATTTGAAATTATCTAAGTAGTATACCTTCTCACACAAAAATCTTCATTTATTTATAATTAAATTTTATTTTTTAATGTGTAGGTAATCCATAATCCATCCATCATGATTTTATAACAAGCTATTTACTTGCCGTTATAATTGCACTTTGTTAAAGATATTTTAAATTAACTTTTCATTTGAAGTGGTCATTCTCTGGTTTCTTACTTCATATTTTCAGTTGTTGAAATTCATTTCAACCACGATATGGTACGTTTATTTATTAGACTCATGAATGTTTATGCTTGCACTGTTGTGATAATCACAGTCGCGTGCTGCGCCTCACAAGTGTCAGCAATCTGCTGAAGGAGGTCAATACTCGCTGCCACGAGGGTATCCGAGATATCCTGCGCAACCATACCTTTGTTGGTTGTGTTGATAACCACCTGGCTCTTATACAACACCACACCAGTCTCTATCTCACACGCACCCAGCATTTGTGGTGAGTTCTTGCCGTTATGCATCATAACGCTTGTCTCTAACTATTATTTGTGAGGTGGAGTTAGTGCGTCTTGGAGCATCATCATCACAATAATTTTATTATGTTTCCCTAAGTGTCCTCTTGACTCCTTCACCCTCAGTGACGCTCAGAAATTATTCTTCAACACAATATAGTTCTATTGGAATTATCTTAACGCCATTGCTTTAAAATACCCACTCGTGGCCCTAATTTCACTGCATCACCGGCCATCAATTGATTCTAAACTGTGGCTTCTCAGTCCAGTCATGTTCAGGGATTTAAAATTCCCCACTGTGCGAACTATTTTTATGTGATGCCTGGGCAAAGCTTTTCATTGCCTGGACAAGTCTTTTCATTGCCTGGACAAGGCTTTTCATTGCTTTTCGTTGCCTGGACAAGTCTTTTCATTGCCTGGACAAGACTTTTCATTGTACCACTCACCTCTTTATTTCTCCGCGCTGCAGCGAGCAGATGTTCTACCAGATTCTTCTAAACGACTTCGGAAATTTCGGCGTGTTGAAATTTTCGGTGAGTGAAGAATAGAGAAGCGATTCTTTGCTTGACCTCAGAACTCAGTTCAGGGTTTATTGCTGGATTAACTAAATTTTGATGTTTTTCGCTTTATCTTGAAAAATAAAATACATTTTCACCTATATTTTAAAAAATTAATGCTTGTGTAGAGAAGCGTTTCGTGTCTTAATCAAGCACCTGGCAAATTGGAACTGGGAAAGAATTTTTTCCAGAATTTGCAAAAAAAAATTTATCTATTTTTCCCCCAAATATCGAAAATATTTCACAAGTCAACTTTTAAAACTGGTTTTTGTTGTAAAAACCTGTTTTTTATTGTAAACCTCTAAATGGTTGTAAACTCTGAGTACGTTCCGATCATTATTATTCTGATAACATTGAAATTACACACTAGGCCTCGCCCTTGCGTTTAATTAATAGTTTGCCTAGGCCATGAAAGTTAATTGAGTGTTATTGACAGTCGGCGGCGAGTCTGAGCGAGCTGGCCGTGCTTGCTCTAGACCAGCCTGAGAGTGGCTGGTGCGAGGCCGACGGCTCTAAAGAATCTCTGGGTGACTACATTAAAAAGTTCCTCTGCTCCAAAGCTGCCATGTTGGAGGATTACTTCAGCATCACCATAGACGAACACGGCAACCTGTGCTCCATTCCCTACCTTATAGGTGGGAAATGAACGTCTTATCTATTCAGCATTTACTTCGCACTCGTTTTTTGATGTAATGATATATTGAGTAGTATTTACCAATAAGTTTTCAGAGTGATTATCTTCCTCCTGTTGCATATGACGTTAATAAATATATTAGCATATATAGGATTTTAGGACTTCACCTTTACTGATTGAGAAGTATCTATTCTCCCGCCTCCCGTTATTTGCAATGCCTCGCACTATTTCTTCACTATAATTATTAACTATCAATTCAGTATATCATGATGATGTTACTAAAAAAACGTACTGCAGATGATTTTGTGCCTACTATGACGGGCCTGCCTATGCTGGTGGTGCGTCTGACGACGGAGGTGAACTGGGACACGGAAGAGGATTGTTTCAGGAGCATCTGCCAGGAGCTGGCTCGCTTCTACGCCAGCCCGCCCCGTCCGGAGCACCAGGACTCACAGGAGGAGGTCAGGCAAACGTGCTACGATCTTATGAGTTCTATGATCTCATGACGAGTTCTATGATCTCATGACGAGTTCTATGATCTAGTTGTATGATCTCATGACGAGTTGTATGATCTCATGACGAGTTCTATGATCTCATGACGAGTTCTATGATCTCATGACGAGTTCTATGATCTCATAACGAGTTCTATGATCTCACGACGAGTTCTTTGATCTCATGACTACTTTTTTGATCTCATGTCAAGTTCTGGACTGCTCTGTCCACGGCCGGACGGATGCGGTAGAGGAAATTTTCGATATTAGCAATACTTTCGAGCATTAAAAATGCTTATAGGGTTTTAAACAGAGATCATTACAACAGAGAGCACATTATAAATGCATTCATTGCATTAAAAATGCATACGCATTAAATACAGAAGTCATATGAATTTCTTGTGCTAATTAATGTGCGTTCATTGAACAGGAATCGGGAGCGCAGTCGAAGTGGTGCTGGATGACGGAGGAGCTGTTGTACCCCGCGCTGCGTCAGCACCTCTTACCGCCCCAGCATCTCGCCCACGACACTTCCATTCTCAACATCGCCGACCTACACAACCTCTATAAAGTCTTCGAGCGCTGCTAATTATAATTAGCTTTGTATTATACAAACTTCATTATTAGCAGTCTTACTGACATTTATTCTCAACATCGCCGACCTACACAACCTCTACAAAGTCTTCGAGCGCTGCTAATTATAACTAGCTTTGTATTATACAAACTACATTATTATCAGCCTCACTGACATTTATTGATAAAATTTTCTGTTAAGCGTCGTACTTTCCTGGGTGTAAATATTTGCTATTGAATCTCTGAAACTCGTAGGTAAAGTTTAGTCTAATTTTAGTTAGTATTCACTTGGCTGAGGCACGTAGGCAATTTTCCGTCTCTCTCTATCCTTTATTTTCAGATCATTTTTCAGCAAACTGTGATATTCTGTACGGGATTATTGTTAATGCAACTCTGAGTTGAAAATGGATTATAGATCATTTTATATAGTCATTTGTTTCTTCTTAGTGGATGAGGGTGGCATTTTCTATTTTTCTTCTATCACTAGATTAAAAAAAAGCAGGATCTTACGTCCAGTTACTCAGAATTTCTATCGTATTGTTAATTCAAGGTTAATATCAATGGATTGCGGACCTCCTCTTGCAAGTACCCTACACATTTGTTATTTTACTTGTTTGTTTCACCTTTGAGTCAGAGAGGGAATAGGATTTTGCAATGAAATCATGTTTCTTAACTTGTGGTGAACGATTTATTTTCTAGTTTTCCTTCTTACGATATGGCACTTCTTTGCTTCTTTATTTGTGTCATTCGACAAAAAAATGAAATAGGATAAATCATACGTAAGTGGGTTACTTGCGCCCTCGTATTTTGGTCAGCGACAGACTGTAATGATCAGTGACTTTGTTTCAAATTTGTGCGTGAAGTGAGAGCTTATGAAGCTTGCTCATAGGAACGGTGTGCTGTGTCTTCGCCCTAGGGAGATGCGATGTTTGTGACATCGTGTTTAGAGGAACTCCTGCGCTCCTCGGGGTCCTTAGCAGATATTCGGGATTTACGTTTACCGGCGTCATTGAGTCTATTGAAGGCACCAGTAAAGCGGTCACAGTTCATCGAGGTTCTTGCGCTTGATTCTCCTCGAAGAAAGTCCCATGGGGTTTTAGTGTTTCCAGAAGCAACACTTGAGAAGAACAGAGAACCCACTGCATGCGGATGCGAGTCTTGGTTGTAAGAGAAATAAAGTATTCCTTTTGCGTCCTTTCTTGATACCTCTCGTGCTGTCAGCAGACTTACCATTATAATGACTTCCAGTACCAATGTCTTCTATTCTGTTCGCATTACATTTTTATCTGGACGTAATTTATCTCCCTCATATGGTAACGTTGCCTTCGCCTCACCAGCTCCAGCACTCTGGTGACGAAAGATTTTAAACGTCAACCAAATGGTTGATTGTTCTGGTGCAATAGTAACTTTCTAAACGCTTAACTGCTGCTTCCGATGCTCGATTTTTCGTTAATTTAACCAAATGTGCTCGTGCAATTTGCCACAAATTTACTCGTGAGCACTATCTGAACTAACCGCAAGTTGTGAGGGACGATTTAGCGGAGCATAAAAAGCAAAATTTTGTGGCGCGGGCGATGAGGTCGAGCTTTACGACGATTTCTACCTCGCGTGCTTCTTTGAAACCGCTGCTCCTAAGAAACAATGATTTTTTAATTTGTTTCCTTTTCTTGCTAGTATTGAGGATTCTTTTATAACTAGAAATCATCATGGAGATCGACCCACAACAATTACAGATGAAGCAGGTTCGTCACTTATATTTTTCTATATACCGGTACATTTTGAAAACATAACTAGATCGTGTGCATTCTCTAATAGTCTGTCTCAATTATAAAAACGCTAAATGATTATCAGTGTAACTTCTAATTTGAATGAAATAATAAATTATAATAAACCACAATGTCCTGCACTGATTTCAATTATCGTATTCTCGTGTGAAGCTACGGTAACATTTGCACGATGCGTTCACAGGCGCAGCAGCAGGAGCAACAGGAGCGCGAGACCACCAAGAAGTCCATCATCGGACAGGTGTTGAGTCAGGAGGCTGCTGCCAGACGTAAGCTTCACAAGCGGCATGTAATTTATGATGGCGCTTTTCTTGACGTCATCTTTTAAAGGTTTAAAGATCGATAGATTGCGAATTCTTAGTCTAAATAGCTACACCGATTCGTGAGTTGAAATCAAGGTTGTAGATATTAAGATATAAAATATCTAGATAAATCATCTACAATCTGGGTAGATAATTTTTCTCTTGGTCTATATTCTTTTTCGTAATGCACACTTCAATTCCAGTAAACACCATCTGCCTGGCTAAGCCAGACAAGGGTAAGCAGCTGGAGGCTTTCATCATAAACCTTGCCACGAGCGGGCGACTAATGGGAAAAATGAGTGAACCTGAACTGATCAGCATCGTGGAGCAGCTTAACAAACAAACCTCCAAGAACACCAAAGTCAAGGTGGGTCGCACGCTTGTAATAAGAATCTCGCGCAGTTGCAGCATTGCATTTTAACTTCGCTAATTTATTTTCGAGTGATTACATTTTGCGATATCAATCATTATTATTAAACGTCATTTTTGAACTTGATAATTAATTCAACGTGAGTGTCGAGAAGCCGATGATTAAGAGAACTCTTTGCTGCAGTTCGACAGACGGAGAGCTGCCCTGGACTCTGATTCGGATTGAACGGCACCACGAATACATGCGAGACAATTATTGTGATGGAGCATTACTCCTGTTTATTATGACAATGAATAAGGTTTATTATAGTTACAACTAATAAAGCTACTAACGTTTCATTAAAACTGCGCTGTTGGAACGAAGACGTACGACAAAGCAGCTATTTTGTATCAATGCAAACAGACGTTCGATAAGGTCTAGGGTGCAAAGAGTATGTTACTACCAAACACCCCACCCGCACCTCGTAATGTTGTTGCTCCCCGAATAACTTTAATCCTTTTTTTTCTTCTGAATTGAGCATTCATCTGTGTTATCGATTTACACATGGTTACGATAGCCATAATATCAATATTAATCATAAGAATATTTCCTCTCCACTCACGCAATTTAACTACTGTTCTCATTTGTGCGTCTTTTTTTTATAAAACTTTATCCTCCAAGTCCGTCTTATTGCCTCCCACCTATTATCACAGTCTGATATCCCTATTTATCGATTGAGGCAAATGAGAATGCAAGTTGAAGTTTTCTTCGCCACATGCTGAATAGGTATGTCACTAATTTCCATAAAAATTGCATCAAATTCACTTCGAATAAACCGATTCAAAACACTTGACGTACTGAATCCGGACTGAGGAGTTGCGGGCCCTTCTCATCTTGTGTCCGGGCGTGAGGCGCGTGGTGAAGAACCAAGACCTCAGAGAAAGTAGATTGAAGAACCTTTTCGTTGATGGTAACATTTGCACGATGCGTTCACAAGCGCAGCAGCAGGAGCAACAAGTGCTTAATCTTCATCATAGCTTAAGCTTCGGATGGCGCTTAATCTTCATCATAGACGCGCCCTTTGCTGTAGAAGTGCGGCGCCAATTCCATCAGCCAAGCCTCTTCTATTACGGTCAAATCACGCATGTAGGCGCGATTGGTGTGCAAGACCTCATTGTACACAATCCTGAAGACCAGAGCGTACTTTTTATTAACAATTTTCTCGTTTTTTTCTTCAATAAAAGGCTTAACATTATTCCAGTAAAATGTCTTTTGGTTACCTGCTTCTCGATCAACCAATACCAGTTACTCCGGTAGAGACGGTATATTCTACTAGGAGAGTTACAACCTTTGCCCAGTAGAAACGTGGCACTAATTCATATTTTCACACCTTGTCATAATTTCGCATGGTGCCTTCGATAACTTCGATAAACTACCCTTTGAAGGTGACAAAATTTATAGAAGGGGTGACATGTTCGTAGCATGTTAATTTGGATGAAAGTTCAGGACTATTGACCTACGCGCATTTGCATCGTACTAAATTCATGAAATGCAAAACCGAAGACCAGGCGATTTGAAACGAGACATTAAGAATTATCAAACAAAAACATGGTGAGTTCACTCACCACTTGGGTTGCTGCAGAGTGTACAGCACTGATGACGGGTGGATGGCGAGCGTCCTATTTCCCCTCACGGTTCTGTACTCGCCGCTGTAGTGTAGATATGCAGCGTTCATGAACAGACCAGCCGTAATGCAGCGACGGATGCTGCTGCCACTTGTGCTGCTGCTGATGTCTGTTGAAGAGAAGAATTTAAGTAAAGGGTTACAGTAGCTGAAGTACAAGATATGAATGTCATCTTCATGATGATGAAATTAGTAAATAGCAGGTTGACTGTATTGATAAATCTAGCGAAAAATTTCAAACGTGCATTGTTGTAATTAGATGCGTGGCCGTTATTAGTTATGAATAGACGGAGGAGCGGGATTCTTATCGTTTCATTTTTTTAACCGTTCAAAATAGAAAATTTATTTATCCAACGTTCAACAGAAATTCAATGAAAACTTCATGCTAATAATGACAAATGAAAATTTGTGAAATCAACACAAATTCTGACCTTCATTCTCTCTATCCATGACCTGCCACTTGATGAGCAGAGAACAGATCCTATTCCTTATCTCGTCAGCTCGACACAAAGCTTTGTGGCTCACGAAATGCTTGGAGCACCAATGTTGCGAGCGATCGTGGCGCACCCATGCGGCGTACACGTTCAGCAACGTCAGCAAGTCTCCTTCCTCGACCTGCAATTTATTCATAAGAATTAATAGGTCATATTGCCGTATAGTGGCACAGCATGAACAGAGAGTACGTAGCACTGATACGACCTTTTGCCACGTCCAACTGGGACAGTATGCCTTACACGTGTATAAGTGCATTGCAAAGGTGTAACTCATTTCTTTGAGTGATATTATTCATTATTTTAAAATCGTACTAGGAATTACCAGAATGCTAAACAATCCTTGTAGAATATAGATAACATGAACAACGACAGGTCAAAGAAAACCTAATGCAGTTCTGATTTTGCTTTGTATTGAGATGAAGCTACCTAAACATAGTGTTAGGACAGACTAACCTTCAGGAACACAGTGTTAGGATAAAGCCTGGACATAGCATTAGGATAAAGCCTGGACATTGTGTTAGGATAAACTCACCTTGACATTTTGTTAAGATAAAGCCTGGACATCGTGTTAGGATAAAGCCTGGACATTGTGTTAGGATAAAGCCTGGACATTGTGTTAGGATAATTGCAGGGGTTTAGAACCTTCAACTCACCGCAACTGATCCCAGACATTGTAGAATTATCATAGTTTGCAGGGGTTTAGAACCTTCAACGCACTGCTCTTATCTTGCTACTTTGAACTGTGAGCCCGAGACCATCAATTATAAAATAAAAATGTAATTGAAGAGGAAAATGACGACGATGCAAGTCATAAACAATCATTACGATGCGAAATAGTGGCGTGGAATCCTGTAAAAAAAATCCGAACTGGCACGCATTTAAAATAGATAAAATGTCAACAGCGCCAACTAGGACGAATATTATCATTTGTTAATTAAGATAAATCGAGCGTAGAATAAATCAGTAGATCAAAATAGAATTAGTAGATAGTACAAGGTGAATGCTATATCCGCATGTCATTCCGTCATCCCACGGGAAAACATGTCATATTTTAATCGTAGAACGACTGAAAAACACCTCTAAGAAAATTTTCTTTATACAAATTGACAGTGCCTTTGAAAGTTGGAGAAAATTCCAAACAATGAGCAGAAGTAAGATCACAAACGCCGATTTAACGCATTCGTTTGGCAGATCGGTGATAAATATCTTTCAAACATGATCATATTTTACATGTTATGAAGACTACAAGCCTCAAGGTCAACAGCACAGCTATAACCAGACTGTTTGTGTATGGGTACGCACACAGTGAAAGCAGGTTGCCAGCGTGCTGGTTACCTGCTCAGGCTGGCGCCTGAAATCATAGAACACAGAAGCCTATTCGTACAAGTTTTCACTGTGAACACTTACATTATTATCCTATGTTCATTCTTGTGGCAGGTTGAAACCATAGCATACAGAAGCCTATTCGTACAGGTTTTCACTGTGAACACTTACATTATTATCCTATGTTCATTCTTGTGGCAGGTTGGAGCAGGTTGACCGCACGGGCAAACCTGCTTCCACTGGGTGCGTACCCTATAGCACCAACCTAGTCATGACATCAAATATGATAACATAATAAATTCACATCATACAGGTAACTAGTTTAAAAAGCTCACCAGAAACGAGCAGCATCTTTGACAGGTGGGGCGGCAGCGGCATCTCTGCCATCCGCTGCCCCAGCGGCTCAGTGAGCTGCACGCGGTCGTCGAGGGCGGACTGCGCGTAGAGCTCCTCCAGCGCGGCGATCAGATGCTTAGCGGGGGGAGGTGATGGGAAGTCGAATCGAAGCATGTTTTCTACGGAGAAAATCAAACATATTGTACGATCACTAAAATTCAATCACTATACTCCAAAAACATGAAATTGATCGAATCAATCGGGTCGAAGGCCAAATGAATGAACTTCTTACAAATAACAAGCAAGTTTAGGAGATGCAATTGCAGTCATTAGATTTAAAATAATACTTTATTGTCGAATACGTAACTAATTCAACAAATGGTCAGACAATAGCAATTTTTATCTGACTGGAAGGATGTCCAAAGACATTAGTCTATAGCCTTTATATTTGGAATGAAAAAAAAATCAACAGTAAAAATATTAAGCATAATCCAGTAGATTTCGGCCAGCGGCATAGTTCGATGGAATAATAATATGTACCTGAATTCTACACAGAATATACAGTAACTTTTACCTCAACTAAAATAGATTTCAATGAATCTCTTCACGTTCGAGAGACATCACACACTTTATCTAGCTTAGGATCACTCATCAAGCCTAATTTTTTTATAGGCGTGTTATGATTATTTATAAGTGTGTTATGGTTACTCATTGGAGGGTTATAACATAACATAACATAGTGATGTCGGCGCTGAAGTGTAGGCCTGATGTGGCCTGTCGCCGATTCTTTTCCTTTTCGTGCCTTGTTCATAGAAGATCTAAAATCGTGTCATTTGACCGGATCTTTTCATGACTGACGATAGTTTGAAGTAGCTACTAGACTTCCACCGGGTTCGATAAGAGTTGCAACCATGTCTTCTCATACTGTAATCTTGCTGTTCATTGTTCTTCCCGAGGTGAAGTACTTTACACTTGTCAGCATTAAACCGTAGCTCAGTTAACTAACTAACCTTAGCGCTACATATTGGAGAGTCTTGTTATTATTTTTTTGAGCCTATTGGTTATTTATTAGAGCGTTATCATTATTGATTTAAAACATAGTTAAGTTTAAATAGACGGCCGCAGTCTCACCAATGCCGAGGGCGAGGAGGTTCAGGACAGCAGGGCTAAGGTTCGTACGCACCATCTCGGGAGGAGTCGTCAGGGGCAGCGTGAGAAATTCGCTCTCGGGATACAACCTGGTAGGCAGGATAAAACATTACATATCATTTAAATAGTAAACCGTGTGATACATCCTTTTGAAACACCATGCTTGAGCAGCAAAACAAAATAAATGCCAATTTAGAAAACGATTGTAGGCAACGACCAAATACTCAAGGGCAGTACTATCAAAACATGCTAAGTCTATGCAGCTTCCGAAGTACACGTAGCGGCCGATTTCTCGACAGTGATTGGTGGGTTTAGCTTGAAAATTAGTCAGTGAATGGATAACGGAGTTACGACTTCTTAACTTATTCTCGATAGTAAAGCGGAAAGATGATATATGAGCAAAGTGCGATGTGTTCAAATCAAACATGTGAGATCTAGAAAAGGAAGTATACAATTTCTACCAAAAATTGCCGTTTCACTTCCTGTAAAAGTTATTTCATCACTTTACTCCCTAACAATCATCTAATTGTAGCCTACTGAACGATGTTTATAGCTCTTATAAGTTAAAATTCTTGATTGATAGATTTCATGTTCTATTATATGTCTCCAATAGATTTTCAAAGATAATTTTATGATTTTAATAGTTTTTTTTTAATTCGTATCATTCGTGCCTAGATGCTTTGGACAAAGAATTACCCTCAGTAGGAAAATATTCTACTTTTTGTTCACGGATAAATTAGCCGTTTTCATTGTTATTTCAATAAAAGTGCCTCATAACAACAGCTGCCACCAGTTAATGAAATTTCTTTCAAGTGTCCTAATATTCAGTCCAGCAAATTTAAAAGTGAAGAAAATGTAACGAGAGTTCACCATACAATTATGGAATAAAATCAATAGGTTTCAAACGTTTTCCTATCTAGAACACAGTAAATTGTTATTAAATTTTCATAGCTTTAAAATTCTTGATAAATTTTCAATTAAAGCAACGAAGTTATCTTAACATTGAGGTCATCAAGGAGCTGACCGGTAGACCTTGCCAGGTCTGGTGCGTAAATTTTCAATTAAAGCAGCAAAGTTATCTTAACATTGAGGTCATCAAGGAGCTGACCGGTAGACCTTGCCAGGTCTGGTGCGGCCGGCCCGCCCCGCGCGCTGCACGGCGGAGGCTCGGCTGGCGGTGACCACAGCGAGGCCCTNGTATGAGAGCTCACACTTGTTAAGAATAATAATAAGAATGAATCTGCAATAAATATCGTTTTTGTCTGATAAATCATCGCAACAAATTGCCTTTCAACTCGCGACACAGAAGAATGACGGTTTGATCAAAAGTATTCATTAGTAAAAATTTAAGTAAATACAAAATAAATAGCGACATGAATATGCCCTGATCCTAATGCGAAGCTAAGATATATGACTTTATCGTTGATAAGGAGTGACGTGAACATGACCTAATCTACGAATAAGAAGCAGCTTTTTTAACCCTAAACAGCGGCCAGGGACGACGGTTTGGTCCCAAATAAATCAAAACTCACAAAAAAATATAACTCAGTACTCATTGCAGTGAGTGACAGAGAGCGCATTTTCTTGTCGATGAAAACGTGATGTCACGGACGTACAGACGGACAGACAGACGGACATGGCGAGCACAATAGTGCATTTTTTCCATAAATGAGAAAATGCGCTAAAAAGGTATCATAAGAGCATTATAATATTACAATAGGTTTGACAGATAATTTACTGACCGTACACAACACCAGCGATGGTGACGGAGGTCTCAGCGATGTTCGTGGACACGATTATCTTGCGCACGCCTGGAGGCGATCGCTGGAATACGCGCAACTGCTCCGTCGCCGGCAGCGACCCATGCAGAGGGTAGACTGCTGCACTCGCCATGGAGCCTGTCAACAAAGCTTTTATGAGCTTAACTTTGAGTGGTAGAAGCATTTTTAAAGGCATTATCATAAATAGTCGTGTGCCACTCTATGGAAAAAGTATGGTGAAAATTACCTCCCAGCATATTAAAGGAACAAAAGAAGAAGCTTCATTCCCAATATTGCTGAAATCAATGACGTTCCAGTTTCTTAAATAAACAAGACAAAGAGTGCATATAGATTACTAAGCACTAGAAAGAGATATTGCGAACAACACGCAAAATAGACGATAATCAAGTGAAGACTGAAGGTACAATAAAACAGACTCCCGGTTTTGTAAGTTCTGATGGGTTTTACGATGAAAACCAGGAAACTTTAAGACAAACCACTTCAGAATTTCAGGACAATGTGCAAGATTTACAGATGAGACTAACGTAACTAAACACTCGGAGCTTCATGCTTGGTCGTTAACACAGAGCCAAGTTTCCAAAAACAAAATGTAAGGAATGGAAGTAAAGACAGTACCTAACGAATCCGCGAATAATACAGTGTATATTGCATTCTATCAAATTGTGTCTAAATAAAAAGACCTTAATCAATAGGAACAACTTTTTTTATATTTACCATATTAATTCCATGCTTAAATCAGTATTTTTATTGCCTACCCTTATGGCGTGTACTGGTGTTGAGGTGTTCGGTGGTGAGAGCAACACAAGCATCCACCTCCTCCACGCCCGTCAGGAACACTAGCACGTCGCCAGGCGGCTGAGTCTGGTGGATCTTTGCAGCTGTTGCGGCCGCCTCCTTAACGTAGTCCGCGCAAGGTTCTAACCAAAACCAATGTTAAAAAATCTGAAAACTGTTGATGACACGTAATAAAAAACCAATGTTGAAAACCAGCAAAAAAAAAACTGAAAAGGCGTAGGTCAAAAACCGGTGTTGAAAATCCGTAACACTCACACATGAAGAGCAATGCAAAAAAATTCTTATGCAAAATAAGATGTAGTTAACATGATTGTAATATCAGTAGGATCTCATCAAACTACTCAAACTCGAAGATGTACAGGATTTACAGCTAAAATTGTACACACGATGGTAAATCAGTGTCTTAATATCAGTGTCATACTAATAACATAATAATAACTTTCCTCATTGTTCCTAATTTTAACCATTGAAATTGGTCAACATGTTTGGAATTATTTTCAATGCCGATATGTCTATACTATGAATAGATCTCACAAAACATAATTTTCATTCAATGTGAAATTAAATCATTAAAGGCACAATTTGAAACACAACCAATTAATCAAACATCTTCATAAATTTGGATCTCACAATGCAATCAGAAAATTACCTTTTAAATAATAGGCATCGACAGCATAGGTTCTACCAGAAACTTTTATGACAGCAGCAGTATCTTCATCTCTATTGTTGGTGAGGTTTAAATTGAAGAATTCAAACATATGTTCAGCATCAATGGTAGCAGAACACACAATTATTCTCAAGTCTTTCCTTCTCTTCAATATTTTTTTGAGGAGTCCCAGTATGATATCAGTGAAGAGATTTCTTTCATGAACTTCATCCACCATTATGACACTGTACTGAATAAAAAATAAATCAGGAAAAGCCAACATTTATAGTAGTTTTGTCAATAAATATTTTCAAAACGATTGTACACAAATTAGAACCATGAATTTAAAATATTTGTTCCTAAAATTCAAACACCATTTAAAATTTTTCTTGATAAATAAGCACCACATTGTGTTTGAACATTCACTACGTACGTTACATAAAAAAACATTAGCATTGGAATTCTAAAATTGATACCTGTCTCAGGAGAGGGTCACCCATCATTTCCCTGACAAGAATTGCTTCAGTCATGAACTTTATTTTAGTAACAGCAGGAGTAGTGGTGTCATCAAACCGGATTGTGTAGCCAACAACGTCACCCAAGAGACAGTCCTGTTCCTCGGCCACTCTCGAGGCCAGGTTTGTGCAAGCAACTCTTCTGGGTTGAGTGACACCAACCATGAGGCCATCACTACACCAGCCGCTCTCCAGCAAATACTGAAGACAGAGAATAATGAGTATTATCAATTTGACACTTTAGGTTTCTTTCTAATCAAGTTAAGTGGAGCTTGGAGATAAGGAAAAATGCTTGGTAATTAGTAGCATTGACAGATACATTCACAGGTTAAACTAGTACCTATTATATATTGATCCAATATCTGAAAGTTATTGAAGCAAGTCGAGGAATTATATAGGTACACAAAAATCAACATTTAAAGGCATGAACTGCTGTAAACAGGCTGTATAATATTTTATATTGTTAATTGAAATGACTATTTAAAAATTCATACAATTATTATACACATAAACTGCAAGAAGGTTCCATTACAAAATTTTGAAGCTACCAAAAGATAGCATCTGAAGTAAAACAAAGCAATAATACAGTATATATAAATATTGGACATAGATACAAATATTAGCTTGTTCAATATTCAAACCAATAAGAAACTAAAATATTATTATATGGCAAAACATTCTAACAATAAACCAACATTGAAAATAAACACACCTGAGGAATCTGAGTACTTTTTCCTGAACCAGTTTCACCAACAACCACCAAGCATTGATGTTTTTCCAACAGGTACAAGATATGATCTCGAACAGAATAAACTGGTAGCCTCTGTCTCTGTTTGCTGATGGGCTGATGATGGCATGGGTTGTACACAAAAGAGCTGCCTGCCGTTGGATCAACATCACTGCGATCAGATGAAAAGCTTGCCTCACCTGTGAAATTAAAACGAGAATTTCATAAAGAAAAAACCATTAGATTCATAACACTATAAAAACTAGAATATATTAAAAACTAAATAGAACACAATAGAAAACTTATAGATTTTGCTTACATTAAGCAACTTACGTTCAACGTGAAAGATAACCAAAGTCAAAAAGTCCTATTAGTGCTATTGGTTAATCAAATTTACTACCTATCTTCAGAGTTTAGAGACTAGAGCTAAGTTAAATTTTTGTATGAATAACTTTTGTACATAAAACTTGCTTTCAATATAATTTAAATTTTAATTTTCTATATGAATTTCTTGGCATTTGAGCACATCTTTCAAGATTCAAGCGTTACAATAAGGTGTGAACTGTCAATGAATCGTTGCTCTCACACACAATTGAACAATCTGCACTCAACCAATTGGCAACTATTCAAGAGATTTTAGAGATAATTATGAATAAGCTTTTCTTTGGATTCATGAAGATATAGTACTATTAGATTATTGTTTAAATTATTATTATCGTTTATATAGTATAGCAGTATTATTAAGAAATAGTCACCCAAACAACATTGGAATTCAAGATTTGTTGCAAGCTTGACAACAAGAACAAACAATATTCTCAAACTTATTAAAAAAAAATTACACAAAACACACAAAAATTGCTCTATTATCCCAACATGTTATCTGCATGGGTTTTCTTCAATCATCCTAGAATTACATACACCCTGTATTGCACTAAACTTTACATTTGTAGTCAAGAAGCCTAGTAGAATTTATAGCACCATTCTGGAGACTATCTTGAATTTCTAATTTCAACCATGACTTCAATTTTGAATACCAACCATTTAATAACTTTTATGTTACCATCAAGTGCCTGGTTATTAGATTTACCTGGCTTCAGAAAACGTCGTCGATTTTGTAGTGACATATTTTCGACTTGCTTATTTAATAGAACCTTGGCATGGTAGCACAAATTCTCTGATGCAGGTCTCTAATAGCATCTACTCTATCTAGATTCTGCAATACAGCAATAAAAGTTTTGGTTAATTAATCATATTATTCGCATGTATAATAGCTATAAAGTATGTAAGTTGTAAATTTTTAAAATCTCCTTCCTGATTAATGATTACATTGAGATTTATAGATGTGTCAAACAGTCCATGTAGCTCCACAAATGTAGGGTTATTAAGATAGGTATTGCATCAGACATAGCAACTATTGCTTGTCATCACATGAAGATCATAAGTACTAACAACATGAACCCAATAACTGCTAGACTAGAACTTACCAAGTTAGGCTGTATTTGTTAAGGAAATATTTTCAAGTGCAAATCAGGAAACTATATGCTTAAATATGCACTTCAAAATTACATTTCAAAGACCTCACTTCTAAAGAGGCCAATGTCTTTGATGTTACTAATGTACAAACTACAATGAAATTCCTTTTAAATTATTTTGAATTTTTTTTTAATATTAAAAAAAATAAATTCCTTTTAAACATTTTTTAAAATTATTTATTCTGACAATTGATTCAAGACAATTGATTCTGACTTTAGGCAAGTGTGCAAAATTTCAGATTGATTGGGCTGTGGGCAGGTTACGCAGGTAGGTAGTAGTGTGCACTGTGCCCTGAGTTGAATGTGACTTTGAACATTGAACTTTTGAAGTATTTGATTCATCATTCCCTTTCAGAATTCTTTCTGCAGTGGCACCACTGTGTCCAGGTCCAGCCATAACTAGAGCCTCTGCAAGGTCTTCATTTGAGACATCTTCACCCAGTGATCCAATCACACTCCATGACTCCAATGACACCAACAAATCTAAATTGATTGACAGGAAGGCAGCACTTTATGGTCCATGATGCAAGCTGATTGATATTCAATAAAGAGGTCATCTCAGTAGTGACTAGTGACAGTACCGAGCTCCCTCTCAAAGGTGACAACAAGAATTTTGCAGCCAAGATTCTTGCTCAGGATGATGTATGCTTTCGGTGAATTTTCCCACGCATTTTCACTTTTTTTAATCTATTGCTGTGCACAGTTGGCGCAATATAATGAAAATTGATTATCTTCGTGCACGTGTTCGCGCAATCCCGGCCATCTTTATTTTAGAAGAAATTTTCTCCAAAGTCATATGGCAACACTGAACACCGTCTGTTTACATTTCGTATGTATAACAGCCGCAGTTTACGATTACCGTACGTTCCGTATCCGGCAAGGCGGACAACCGGAAGAGTCAGAAGTAACCCGGACATGTCTTACATTTTATTATTGTCAGTTCAACTCGCGTAGTCAATATACTTGCATATATTGTCGACTAAAATAGTAGAACTATTTTAGCTTTTTAAAGTACGGCGCACGGCGCATTTTTTTACCAACGTAGTACGGTGCACCGCGCAGGTCGTTAAAATGACAAAATAAATTCCCGCGCACCTGGCACATCTTCCTGACCATGGAATGCCTGCTTTGCCAAAAGGCGAGTCAGCCAGGGCCTTGGCCTTGCTCAATAAAATGCTCAGAGTCAAATCATTTGAGAAAAATTTATCTACTGGATAGTGGATGGTATCTGCAACTGGCTCAATGATAACATTATTTAATTTATTTGACTTTTCCATAGATATAAGTTAGGAGCAGCAGGCCAGCCAGCACAGCAGGTTCTGTCTGACTGACTTGACTGAAGTTGACTCCTGGATGGGTTTGACATAGTCTCTAAAGTTAGTGGTACTTTTAGTGCCAGCGTTTCTTTGAGCAGGAGTCAGCAGGCTCTCAGACTGGCAGCTTAGTCTAGTGGCAGAGCACTGTATGTAAGGAAATCTTCTCACCTTGGGTGGAAAGATTTTTTATAAGTAAACTTCCATTCTTAGAATTCCAGAACTGCAAAATGCTGTGAATGTTCTGTGATGTTCAGGATGTTGAGAATCAATGACAGGCCTACAGCCTAATAAACGCTGAAACCGCTGTTATTATTTATTATCAACTAACCAACTGGGTGAACTGCTCCTGTAGTGCAATTGCCAGACCTGGAAGACACTCAAGACTTGAGCGTCTTCCAGGTCTGGCAATTGCACTACAGGAGCAGTTCACCCAGTTGGTTAGTTGATAATAAATAATAACAGCGGTTTCAGGCTTTCAGCGTTTATTAGGCTGTAGGCCTGTCATCGATTCTCAACATCCTGAACATCACAGAACATTCACAGCATTTTGCAGTCTCAAACTTGCAACTCACTGCTACAATTCTGCTGTAGCTGTACTTAACAAGTTAACTGCCTGGCCACCTTCAAGTTGCCAGTTGCCAATTCTGACCAGAAACTGGCACACAGAGCTGGGATCAAACTTGCGCCTCTCTGCACCAATCAGGCTGGTACCTACTCTGAACTGAAGTTCTGAACTTTAACCACTGGCCACTGGGCCACCCTGCCCTTACTAGTCTGGAAAAGTCCTATTTTTGTCTGAAATATCGCGGCTCTAATATCATATAATTTCAGTAGGTATGAAATCTCGCGGCTCGAATGTCATAAATTTTTGTTTGATTAAAAAATCGCGGTTTGCACTTTGCAAACATGTCATTTCATAAAATTTTCAACTTCCGCAATCCGCATTGCTTTACCGTTTCTGCCAAAAATATCTTGCAGAAAAAACATAAACATCGTAATGTAAACAAATAAACAAAACGTTTGTTGAAGATCGCGCATAGTTGCAGTCATGTCAAAGCGGTCAGACTGTACCTATATTAACACGTGCTGAACTTACAGTAGAGACAAATTTTATTGTTGCCGTTTGACTGTTTAAGGGTAAAATTAGAGATTTGGGGTAACACATGCATAAACTTTGTGAATAAATTCGCACCTCATAAATGGCTTTTCATGGCCGAGATATGGAATTCACGGCTCGGTGAAATAGAATCACGGCTCGTAGAAATGGAATCACGGCTGGCAAATCCATAAAACCACGGCTTGAAAAGTTCAGTCGCGGCTTGCCAAGTAGATATATTCCATACTAGTGCCCTTACTCTTACTGTCTTACACAATTACAGTTAATGTTGGCATGTTACTGGTAGTGGTTTAAGAAATTGAAATGTACATCAAGCTGTTTGGTGCTGGCAGTGAGTAGTGACCCATCCCATCAGTTGGCAGCTGCCATCACTATCGTCTATCAGCAATTGTCAATGATTGGATATGTGGATCGGCCTGTGAATGCTTTGGTTGTTTATGAAAGGTTTTCTGAAGCGTTGATGATGCGGTCGCAGAAGAGCCAGTGACCCCGGACCCCGGTGTCCCCATCTGAATCAGACGGAGACGTCATAGAGTGAATAGATAATCATAGACGAACTGCCTCCCTTGCGCCGCTTCTGGCCTTCTGCCGACCGTCCGACGCACCGGCATCCTTTAGATAAGGAGCTTCTAGCCTCAAGCTTTTGCTCCACACACCTATCTATAATTGCAATATTAACTATTCAACTATATTTATTTGTGATTTGCACAGTCTCTTACGTCCGTCTTCAACCGTGACTGTAACCGGAATCCCATCCAAGTTTTCAAAACGATTTCTTCTTACTTGGACACACAGTTACAATAGACATCATCCGCAGATACTGAATCCGTGACGCGTCTCATCATGCCAGATGCAAGCCAGAGGCGGGAGCGCAGCCGTGCACCACCAATTTTGTGCACCAATAAGCCCTGAATCGAACGCATTGGATCTCTCCGGATATCCACCAATCAGCCGTGCACCACTCGGCTTTGTCCTCCTCCGGCCTTGACCACCACCTGCCGTGCACCACCAGGCCGCGGATCGAATCTGACTTCTGGGCATCGTTAAATTACGTAATTTTACGTTCACCGCATCTGAGGTTAGGTTTCAGACAGCATAGATCTGTTACAAAATTTATCGTCCTTCGAAAAGGGGCCGTTCGACCGAGGGCTGGTTCGACCCACGGCCTAGATACGGACGGCTTGAAGTGTTGAAGGCTACGTTCCGGAAGGCAGGAATCATGATAGTCCATTACATCCAGGGCAGTTGTGGTCTTCGGCAGTCGACCCGCCAGAGGCCACGGCTGCGCACCCGTTAGTACTTAGGCGGCAAGGGCCGAGGTTGTAGCATTTGATGGGTTTGGGAACGAGAGTATTGGTTTCAGCATGGTCCTTGGTGTGCTTCTGGTGGGATTTGCAATATTTGTTATCATTGGGCATGGGTGGCCCGGGAGGGTTCTGAAAGGTATCGCACAGCATGCTCCATTGTTGCCAACTCCCGGTAGAGCCTTCGAGAACTGCCATCTAGTACGGGATGGCGACTATATATATATTTTTTTTATAGACTGGGCAGCGATGAGATAATGCCGGGTGAGTGCCTTTGCATGACGGAGTGAGTGCCTTTGCAGGGTGGCCCAGTGGTTAAAGTTCAGAGTACCAGGATTGGAGCAGAGAGGCGCGGGTTCGATCCCAGCTCTGTGCGCCAGTTTCTGGTCAGAATCGGCGAGGAGGCCGGGCGGTTAAGCACAGCAGAATTGTAGCAGTGAGTTGCGAATTCGAGACCTCAAAATGCTGTGAATGTTCTGCGATGTTAATAATCGGCGACAGGCCTATGGCCTAATAAACGATGAAACCGCTATTACATCTTAGGCCTATTGCATCATATTTTTGCACAGTATGGAACAACGAAGAAAAGAGGCAATAACCTCAAGCCTTCAGCATGAGATTGTACCAAGGCCAAATTTGTATCCTTCTATTTTATATTACTCAATGATAATCGAAAGCGTTATTTGATACCAGATTTATATTTTCAGGGAGTGCCAGGAGCCATTTTGGTCAAAATAAAGATTATGTGTTTAGAGATTGGAGAGCAGCACTTCACACTAGCGCAGATCGGGCGACTTGCTTTCTTTCGTGTTCAATAGTTCAGGGAGTGTTCGTTTGTTCGGATTACCTCTTTCTATATCAGCAGTTTTTGTTTGTATTTTTGCTGTGGTCTATTCACTTTGGTCATGGAAAACGGCAGTAAAAATGTCTGATCAAGGCACCACCAGCCAGGGTCATGTCTCAAGATTCATAGATTGTCGAATTGTTGATAAAATGAGAATGATTGTTATTCATGGTTCATTGCGTGCAAAAGTTATGCCTAAACCATAATTTTTAGAAATTCATTGGGAAGTTTAGAATACAGCCTATGATTGCAATTGACTTTGTTCAATTTTTTTTAAATAGAAGAATTTCTGTCTTCTGGAAACGTAGATGGAAGACTCAGGCTCAACGCGAGGCCAAGTCGATTGCAAAAGTCAGTCACGCAGGTTTGAACGAAAGACAGGTGAGTATTGGCCGAATAAATGCTCTCTCAACTTTAGAAACTTTGTTGGAATTACGATGCACTAAGAACGATTCCCCAATATTTATCACCTGCAGCTGGCTAGTTAATATACGTGTGTTGTGGGCTAGGGAATCAAGCCGCCATTGAAGTAATTGCTTGCTGGTGAACTCTACTCATACATTCGTAAGTCAATCCTTGTCCAGGGAAATTTTTTGCAGTTATTATTGAATAAAACACAATTTCTCTCAAATTATTGCTTCGAGGTTTACTCTAGAATTGTTAGTTTATCTGCTCTTAAAATTATATTCTCGCCTAATTTGCTATGTAGCGATGTTTCTTCAAGTCTATGAGCGTATTAAGTAGCTTAAGATAGCATCATAGCAGCAATTTTATTGCCCACTTGAACTATATTATGGACCCTGTCGAACATTTCAAATGACGCCTGGGGAATGATTCTGTAGAAACGATCATCGGTCATTTGATCTTGATATGGGGGCCGGCTGTGGCCCAGAAGCCGCAGATGTTGGGTTTGATTCGGTCAGGGTTGTTGGTTCTTTACTGCTTGAACGAGGATTCTTAAACAGTGTATATGGACTTATAGCGCTACTTCTTTGACACTTAACTTCATATGTTACTTAGTATGTAGCAAATGAAGCTAAAGTTATCTAACCTAAAGCTATCAACTACAGTAAGTTGGCCAAAGCTGTCCTCCGGCATGCACCCTCCTAAATGTAGCTATCAAGTAGACAACATCCTGTCTTGCTTAGCACAGTAGCCCACTGTTACAAGAAGCTATTAATTGCGAAAAACTTGCTAACCTATTTCTTAATAAAGACTTCCCGTTTTCCAGTAATCATTCTATGGACGTTGTGTGAACATTGGTAAGATGTTAAGGACACTGCTGTTGATCTCATTGCAAATTGTACTGTTGATGCTTGCACACAGCTTTGCGCTGTATGAACATCGTCTCTTCGAGCCACGTTTCAGAAAAGAGGTGAGTATCTAATCTTGTCTTGCATATCTCATGCGTTTAAACGCCTAATTTTTGTCTTGAATTGGATCGCTTGGGGCTTGACTCTTTGAAAACATAGGGGCTTGACTCTTTGAAAATTTCGTTATCTACTTCAGCTACGTGTGCTTAATTTAGCCTAATCTACAATACCAATTCCCGAAACCCGATGATAATTGTTGCCTTTCTTCAGTATCGATTAAAGTTATAATGGGTATTGTTTCCTAACTTTCGCGCTCCCGGAATCATGTTTTTGGTCATTCGATTGTTTCAAGCTCAAATCGGCTTGTTTCAAACGAGATTTCTTCCACAATATCGCATTAGAAAGCACATTGCTTTGCTCATCTTGTTGAATAGAGTCGACAACAAATAAGCCGTCGATATATGTCTGGTATATGAATGCCATGAATGCATTAGAAACGTTTGGTTCAACGACATCCATGAAATTTTTTTCATTATTACTCAATCCTTGGCATTAAACTTGATTTAAGGTTTTAATCGGGACATAACGATTAGTTTTTTTTTTCTTTCCCCAGGGCAAGAAAGAAGAAAATAAGAACGGGCATTCGTTAAACATAATTTCAGGTAAGTTACTGCCTTTTAGGATTGTACATTCTTTTATCAAACTTTATGCTAAATATTGATGCCATATTTTTAATTTGAGGCGTCGAGCCAAAGCTCTATCAGTATTTATATTGAAATTCCAAACCGAATTTTGTCTATTAATATAGGTAAATGCTTCCAATTTTAATTTATGAAACTCCACATAGCGATGGATTGATGGTTTTAAATTACGTTTCGGTCTTATTAAAGATATTAGGTTATCACTTTTCGGTTAGAATAAAGGCGAGCAAATTGTTTACGTTCAACTTAATCTGATGTTCATGTAGAATTGAGATGTCAGGATTACCGATCATGATGGCCTTCTAATTAAATTGGGAGATAATTTTCATAGGGTAATTTTCAATTGTATTGTGAATTGCAGACTTGGAGTTCTTCCAGCCTCGAGTCCGACACCCGACTCAGTCCACGGGCGGCACTTGTCCCTTCAGTGAGTCTAATAAACGAGGGTCGGCCGCACGTTTTGTTATGCTTTAGGCCTGCGGTGGAGGGTGATTTGGGTTACGTCATGCCTGCGGTGGAGGCCGAATTAGGTTATGTCATGTCTGCGGTCGAGGCTGAATTAGGTTACGTCATGTCTGCGGTCGAGGCCGAATTGGGTTACGTCAGGCCTGCGGTCGAGGCTGAATTGGGTTATGTCATGCCTGCGGTCGAGGCTGAATTGGGTTATGTCATGCCTGCGGTCGAGGCTGAATTAGGTTACGTCATGTCTGCGGTCGAGGCCAAATTGGGTTACGTCATGTCTGCGGTCGAGGCCGAATTTGGTTACGTCATGTCTGCGGTCGAGGCCGAATTGGGTTACGTCATGTCTGCGGTCGAGGCCGAATTGGGTTTCGTCATGTCTGCGGTCGAGGCCGAATTGGGTTACGTCATGTCTGCGGTCGAGGCCGAATTGGGTTACGTCATGTCTGCGGTCGAGGCCGAATTGGGTTGCGTCATGTCTGCGGTCGAGGCCGAAATTGGGTTACGTCACGACTGCGGTGGAGGCTGAATTGGGTTACGTCATGCCTGCGGTCGAGGCCGAATTGGGTTTGTATTGATGTATACAATTCATGCCTGCGGCCGAAATGAAATAGGTTACTTTCGGTACTTCTGATTATCCACTGAAATTATTGGCAACGTGGGAAATCAATATACTGTGCATAAATGACGCTGAAACAGATTTACGAGGATGCTTAGTCGAGCGTCAAGATTTTTTTCAGTCGATAAGTGACCCAACTATTATACTAATTATTATTTTTTTAAATAATCAACTTATTCGAGACCTACTAATCATTCCAACAACTTGCACTAACAATGTATTACTCCAACTAATTCGGGGTCACTGCTGGAGATATCGTCGTTCTTATTACAGCATAGTTAAACTCTAAATAAACGCCATTTATTTGTTACACGACAGAAGTAATAAAATAGACGAGGTTTTACATGACTAGACAGCGCGTTATTCTGTTACTAATTCGTAAAATGAGTTAATTTAATCAAAACTCGTAACCCAAATTTGCGATTAGAAATATTTGTATTGTGCTTACTCAAGTGAAGCGATTCCTGCAAGACTAATGCATTTCACTGAACATTTTCTTAGCTTGTGGTGTAACCATCCCGACTGAACGGAAATCTGGACTGGAAATCGCGGGCGGCACGATAGTCGCCCATGGTGAGCACCCGTGGGTGGTGCGGATCGTGAAGACTTACCCTGACGGCACGACGCTGTGTGGGGGAACTATACTAAACTCCATGAACATCCTCACTGCAGCCCACTGCTTCAAAGACACAGAGTAAGAAGTGCACTAAAGAATTAATTGCTATTTTGCAGCATATAATTTACGCCGGGTTCGGTTACATTTAGATTAACGCAAAATTTGAATCTATATCTTGTGTGAATTCTCAATGCCGTGAAAGGGATCGATGATGAAAATACATAAGCTTACTATATTATTATACATGGTAAAATAGATGGTAGAACATTGCAAATTATTTGAACTTGAACGAACTACGTCAACGCATTATTACGTTTTATCTGCCCGAGCAAGTTTAAAGAACATGGCATTGCTTCCATAATTTATTTTCAGCTCCGATGTGAGTCGCATAACACAGTTAGCTTTGCATTACTTCGACGGCTCAAAACCACCAATTCCTGCAAATGGCAATGAAAACAAAATTCTCCACCTCTTGATAATCAAAAGAAATTAGATGATGCCAACTAATTAAGCTAATAAAGAACATTCAACAATCCATAAATATTATTTTTACAGCCAAAGATACCCGATTTACTAACATTTGCGAATCGCATTGCTTGCTCCTCCAGAGGAGCCTTGATCACAGTCGAGGCAGGCAGTGTCCTCCTGAAGCCTGTCGAGTCGAGCGACCTACAGAGCGTGGAAGTCGCCTACGCAACGGTTCACCCTCAGTATGATCACTGGAAGAAGGTGAAAATTAGTATGGATTAGATTTTTCCATAGAGCATATGAAAATTATATTAAGTTTTACCTTAGATAATATGTACATCGATTAGATTTTTCCATAGATTATAAGGAAATTTAATTAGATTTTTTCATAGACCATATTAATTTCAAGCTTTTTTGCTCGTATATATTCTGTCTGATCAGTTTAAACATAATTTCAAGTCTTTGCATTTTAAGTAGCTTATTGCAAATATGATCCAGTTTTTTATTGAAAAAACATCCCCCAAGCATTCCTCGTACGATGTGGCTGTGGCGGTACTGAAATGGCCCCTGCAGTTCGTGCTGGGGCGCGTCGCCCCCGTGTGCCTCTCCCCCACGCCCCCCTTTGAGGGTCTGGAAGGGCTCATCATGGGCTGGGGCTACACTGGTTTTAATTCAAGTGGGTGAACTTGAATTTAGAATAATAAATCTTACTGAAATTGTAGAGCACCTTGGTTTTTTGTTTGTTGTTCGAGACAAGAATCAATTGTTGTATATGTATATTATATGAATGCAGTGACATTGAAAATTGAGAAGTGGATTTAATATGTCTAGAATTTCAGGTTCAGAAAGATGATTTTCAGGTACATGAGGAGGCAATACGTTAGGTTTAATTTTATAGATATTGCATGGATTCGTGACTTTATTTGAAATTATGAATGGTTCATTCGTGAAAAAGTTGTTCAGCATGGAAAATAATTCAGGCTCCCTCTCCCTGTATGAGCGTCTTTGAAGGTCATAGCTTCAATTGGATTTACGGTGAACAGAGTTAACTCGAGTTTTTTTTAATTAAAAACTATATGAAGACGATTCCGTTACATATCTGCATTTTGAGTTCCTTCCCATATCATTTACCACATTCCCTCAATAGTAGGTTCATGATATTTTTCAGATGAGCCTTCGCCATATCTTCTTAAGGCCACGATCCAAGTGAAGAACCAAGAGCTGTGCGAACGAGCATACCAGTTATTCAACGTTTCAGTCTCCAAAGACCAAGTAAGCGCTGGGATTTTAATCCCTTTTTAGCGCATTTTCTCATTTATGGAAAAAATGCACTATTGTGCTCGCCATGTCCGTCCGTCCGTCCGTCTGTCTGTCCGTCCGTCTGTCCGTGACCTCACGTTTTCGTCGACGAGAAAATGCGCTCTCTGTCACTCACTGCAGTGAGTACCGAGTTATATTTTTTATTAATAAGGATTTTCGAAGAACGTGTAAGAAAGATATTAATAATTTTTTCCATTCATGTCAAATTGGTTTACTATAAAAGCGTGCATCTTAATCCCTTCGTGTGCACCGGAATGAAGTAAAATGAATAACAAAATCGAAAGTTATTTTTTTTTGTCAATTAGAATACGTTTAATTTACCCATCACAGACTGGTGAAGCACCTGATACTAACGTAGAGAACAGGATCTACTTGTCCTGAGTTACATTCTTAATCTTAGTAAGTTTTTATTTTGAAATGAATATCCACTTTTAACCATTTTAGAATAATATTAATATTTCTGTGTTAATATGAGAAGAACTTGAAATTGCATTTTTATAGAAACGCTCTACTGTTTATTTCTCGGTATACGTTAACATGCGTATTTGCTATGGCATAGCATCTATTAACAGCTGTGAGACGACCGTTGACCTGGCCAATAATAGGGAACATTTTACGATAGGGTTGTAAAATTCTACTATCGTTAGTCCCGGGTGTATTTTTAGTATATTATGCATAGAAAGAGGTAGATAAAGATATTAAATCCTTGCACCGATCTTGTTTTTTAGCTCACTAGTTATTCTTTTGTGGGTAATGTTGGAAATAAAAAATTGGTCCTTTGGAGGAGTGGTGTTTCGATTCATTTGGAATAATGTGAAGAAATTTTTATAAGAACATTACCTGAAATTTTCAATACTTTAAACGCCGCAATTATTCAGATTAACACTGCCATTTGGAAGCAGCTAAAAATTTGATCATCTCCAGTCAAATTTATTTATTTGTGCAAGTCTTGGTAGTATACAACAATGTTAGCGTTAATTATGCCATATTGGCTTGTCGCCGATTATTTACTGCCTGACCAACGATCCTATTAAGAACACAGTTTTCCCAATCAGTTGCAGGTCTCAAACCACCAACTCGCATCTCAAATCTTAGTGATCTTGACCACTACGAGGAATTGTTTGCAAGGAGTTCTTATACGCTACCCATCACCAAGTATCAATTAATTAACCGAATTTTCACACTGATATGTTCAACCCTTTTCAGTTTTGTGCGTCTGAGCTGAACAAAGACAGCTGCCGCGGTGACTCTGGTGGTCCTTTCCTCGTCAAAATCGAAGACAAATGGAGACAGGTAACGTGCTTGCACCAATTAATGTGCTTACAAGCTTTAAACTTATCAAATTTCTACTAATAATACATACGTTTTAACCGATTACAGATATTATTATATTGGCAGATGGGCGATTTAACTTTTTACCGATTGCACATGCAATTCATTTGTAATCACGTAGTTTCGAGGTGCTAGGTATGCGTTCTGGAAGCTAGGTCTAGACATTGATTTATTATTTAAAGTTTCGCGTTTATAAACAAGCTGATTATTTCACATGGTGTTGAATTCCCCATGACAGGTGGGATTGGTGTCGTACGGAGCTGGGTGCGCCATTGCTGAATTTCCAGGAATTTATTCACTGGTGGGCGCGAGTCTGGACTGGATCCTCTCCGCCATTCAGGGCGGTGACTGCCCACACTTCACTGGAATTCGAAAATTCTTAATAGAAAAAATTTCCATTATTCCAGACGTATAGTTTTTGCATTTAAATTGTGTCAGAACTTCTTCCTTCAATGTCTTATCTAGAAAAAATTTTTCCGGCGTTTTACCTTAGAAGTGCATTTAATCTCGGATAAATAATAAAATCGAAATTACACATTTTTTACGAATTCCCCTATGGGTTTCTTATTTTGTCAGAACTAATACAAATGCACAATTGTATTGTAATTGGATATTTTTCACTACCCCATCCTTTCATCACTAATTGTTCCGCGGGACAAAATTAAGCTACATTATCTCGATTTTCAATTCACTTGGCCAGTTGGTCGAATATCGCTAGTTCAATTGCAAGGAGCCAACCGGCTAGTATGGAATAATTGTTAATGGTAGTGCATCAGTATTACTTCATATATTAGTAATAGCATTAACGCGAGACTAGTTTATACTAATTCAGGATATGATCTAAAACAGGGGCCTCCACCAATGGCCAAGAGCAAGCTTGTTGAAACCTTCGTGGGCCGGTCACGTTCTTCTACTGTTTTTAGTTCATGCGTAACCAGAAATAAACGTCACTCTCGATTTTTGTATACATTATGTTGAACTACGAGATATCCTCAGTGGGCCAGATGGAACCTAGCCGTGAGCCGGATCCGGCGCGCGGGCCGTAGTTTGGAGACCTCTGATCTAGAAGAACCTAAAGATGATGGAATATGAATAGAAGAATTTGATCCAGAAGAAAATCATATAGTTTCGCGTATAATTCCTTAGTCCAGTTTGCCGCTTTTTGTGCGTGATACAAAAGCATCGGTATAAAATATGTATTTTTGAGATCTTATTGATCAAAGATTCTTAACCAGCTATTCCGATCTCGCATATCATCTAAATGCATGTTATACATCAAGGAGCAGAAGCAACTCGTACACTTTCATTTTTATTACTCGATGGCAATTGTACCAAGGCATAAATGGCAATTACTTTATGGTGGATGTGTAAGTTGCATTATGGACCCTCTTACTATGAACACTTGCGTATAGAATGGAGACTGAATTTTATCCTATATAAGCACCCTGATCAGAAAGAGAACCGCACTTCTCTCCCCACATCCGCCTCTGCAACGAATTCCATTCCCATTGAATTAGAGGCATTTCTTATCAACGTTCCATCGTGAGTACTATCATGACCAATTATCTGTCAATTTTATGGCTGGGATTTTGTTTGGCTGTGCCTGAAATCACGGCAATGCCTGGCCTTGATGATGTCGAGGACATGAACCAACAAAATGAGTTTTCGTCACCTGAAGCGCCTTCAGATGTCATGGCACTAGAGGAACCAAGCCCTGATTTGATGCAAACGCTTGCTCGAAAAATGGGGGAGGATCTGGTATATGTTCGAAGGACGATCCGCGGAGACGTTCAGCCTCTCAAATGGATCAGTGACCGCAAAGGCCGCGTGAGTGGTGAAGGCTCTTTGAATTTTATGTTAGACGGCGTGAATTAAATTTGAATTGAAATATTCATCACTTTTACAATGGGCAATAGGGGAATATTCGTAGATTTAAATTTATCTTTAACTTTGCGCGATCCTTCATTAGATAATGCAGCGAGGAAGCTCTGTCGAGTCCGCATTCAATCTCACAGAAATTTGTCAGCCGAAATCAGACGGGCTGATGTTGTGTGCGAGAACAATTAATATTAATTTAAGGAGTTTTATTAACACGATTCATTTATTTAATTTAACCTTAGATATTCGGAGAACTACCTGATGTGTCGCAACCTCTGGCCGAACTGAAAAACGAAACCATCGGCCTCCTGAACCCTCGTGCCGCCAGGGTCACAAACGGTGAGGAAGGCATTAATGTCGAACTAGTGAAAGTGAATGATGTTGAACACTTTTATTGACTAATTTTAAATATTATCAAATTCAAATCATATGCGACCCAAAGGAACGATATTCGGAATTAATTTCCATCAGCTTGTAGCAGATTCGAAATTTAGACGTCATTTATGAGCTAAATTCACTCATAAACTCAGGTGATCTAATCGAAAATTGGTTCTGTGACTGGAATTTCCATCCTCCATAGAACTGGTTTAAAATTTTTGCTCAGTAATTACGATTCATTTCAGGGCTGCCGTGCAACGGAGTGACGAGGCTGTCCCCGGACGGCGACTCGCTGGCTTTTGTCTTGCCTGTCAGCAGCGATAACGCGTTCTGCCAGGCTGTTATTTTAGTGAGTATAGCCTTCCGTATGATTGCCCGCTCTTTTAAACCTATTATCCTAATATTATTTCCTCAGTTTTACATCTATTAGCCTACTATTATTTCCTCCGTATTGTTGCCCGCTCTTTCATGCGATATTATTGTGTCCCCTGTATTAATGTCCGCTTTTTCACACTTATTATCGGATTATTTCCTTCGTATTATTGTCCGCTATCTCGCACGTATTATCGGATTATTAACTCCGTGTTATTGTCCGCTATCTCGCACGTATTATCGAGTTATTATTACCTATTTTCCTATAATAATGTTGCATTATCATATTTTTTTCTTATAAATATTTATTCTTTCGCACGCGGGTTATCATTTTTTTCAGTTCATTTCTTAACAACTGAGTCTTAAATTTGTTACCTACAGTATTAGTGATTATGTTTTATATTATCCGGTAATGTGTTTGCCTAGACATCCAACTACAAATAAATCGTTCAGTGAGTGAGATTTACTCATCAATATACACTTGATTTCTATTCGTTTGCCAAATACAAGGTACATTTGATCCAAGACTTGCCTCGTCAGTTCTTGCGAAATTTTTATCATCGATTAGTAATTAATAATATTATTAAAAATTATATCGACAAATTCGAGATTTTACTGACTTTCTGTGCCATTTTCAGCCGACTGTAGGCAGTTCTCTGACGCTGGAATGTCCGTTCTTCACATTTCCTCGATGCCAGAGAGAATATCTCTACGTCACCGATGGAGCTGACCGCAAACAGCTGTGGGTTGTTTACATGTTTCCATTTATTTGTTTAATATAATATATTATTACATATATTACAATTATATATTACACTCGTCAGAATACTCGACACTAATTTGCCAGTATAGGGCATGCATGGTTAAGGGGGCCAAATTGTGAGAACATATGTAGCTTTCTGGGTAAATTGCATTATGATCTGCACTAGTTAATAGAGTTCTATTGAAATATAATCCCACTTATTTTGATTATACAAATTTTTCATGATCTTTTTGAAGTAAGAAAATTATGGTTTTAATGGGAGAATCTACATGCATCAGAAATCGAATTAAGCTAATGAAGAAATGATATTCAAAAGATAAGGAAGCTATTTTTTATCCCTAATTTTTCGATAATTGACTTCAGATCATAGATACTATATACGTCGGTTGACATCTGGAGTAACTAATCAAATTTCATCACACCCATGACACTATGAATTTCTTCGCCTCTAAAGATAGAGTTGACTCGATATTTTAATCTCTGGATGTCTCCGTAATGAGATTATTTTTCCAAAACAATATAGATACTGCGACGGCCGACAGCTGGAGCCACTAAGCAACCTGCAGCAGTTGTTCCTGCTCTATGAGAGGAAGCAGACCAGCGACGCTGTCTTCAACGCCTACTGCACCGTTACTGCGCGCTGTGAGTAACGCTGCTGCTTATATCCTGTTGTTTTAGCCTATTTATGTTGTTAACTAATGTTACTATTGTTGTCTTAACTATTAATTAATTTAAATAGTGACTGGTAATCTCATTATTGCCAGATAGGGTATTTCTAAATGGTGACGAAATGTTTCAACGAAGGCAATCACGTTTGAGTAACTTCAAACTTTTTATTAGATTTTTTCTTTACAAGCTTTTGTACTTAGAGCAATTCTATGTGTTGCCTATTGATTGTTTTAATGATTCAACCATTTGTAAGGATTAAAAATAAATGATAACTATGATTCGGTTTTACATTTTTTATTTACCTACTAGGTCAGGCGATAATGGACAGGGTAACTGAACAAATAAATATCCTCATACTGCATACTCCTTTTTTAATAAAAAATTTGATTAAAAGATTCTTTAAAAAAAAAGAAGCGCACTTTATTTCCGGCATGAACTGTGCATCCAAGAAATTCAAGCATAGGCAGCCGCCCCTCCTTCCCTATGTTCAAATTCATTTTAAAACATTAATTTCTAACGTTTAATTTAAGTATATTAAGCATTTAATAATGTTTTACCCTGCCATGTCATCTTCATTACAGACAACACACCGCCGTCTGCTGGCACACCAGCAGCTCAAAACGCCTACCAGATCTGTCCCGCTTGTGAGTTTTTTATTTTGGATATTTTTTTGGATGGAGATTTTGACTTCGTAAAAATGTCCATCGTCCTTTTCTATGTAGCAAAGACATCGAAACTTTGAAGTCGCTTAATATTAATTTGTAGGTTTCACATCTGTTTACAAATCTCAATCTGAAATTTCTTCACAAAAATTTTGCTTCGTTCCTATAAAGTTAAATAGTTGTGATTACTGGAAAAGTACGATACATTTCCTGCAGCAAAGAAGTTTGAATAAAGTTTAATATTTGTGATTACTGGAAAATGTGGATGACACTTGACGAAGAACTTCAGAGCAACATTCCATAATATTTTTGACGGCTTTTGGCGGAGAAATCACATCTTCATTTTAAATCCTTAATTTTTTAAACTTTGCACATTTAATCCAGTAAACATATCGAATGAGACCATTCAACTAATAAATGACCGGAGATTTCATAGTTAAATGATAACTTGAAGGTACTGAAAATTATTTATTGTAAATAAAAATCATAAAAATCATTATTTGAATCATGAAATTTAACAACGAAGATTTACTCAAACTCTGAATTTTAATTTATCTGTATTTACTTTTAAGGTGGTCAGGTATTCAGATAATCGTGGGGTAATAACTAATGTGCAATAAAAACATAAGTTTCAAACCCACTTCTAAATTTAGGATTTTAGGGACAAAGAATATATCACAAGTTTATGCATATAAGTAAAAACATCCTCATACGCATACGTATCATATTCGTAAATTGTGGGCATAGATTTATTTAATATATTTCTTATAATTTCACAGCTTGTGGCAAGGCCTTGAGAAACTCTGGGACCATCCGCATCATCGGCGGGTCGCTGGCCGAGGAAGGAGCGTACCCGTGGATGGCGAAGCTCGTCATCAAGATGAAGAACGGCAACGCCTTCCAGTGTGGCGGCTCCATCATCAACTCTAGGAACATCCTTACAGCCGCTCACTGCCTTGAAGACAAACAAAAGTTGGTGTAGTATTATTGTACCCTCATTATTGCCCTCAGATAACTCTAATGCGCCTCTCGGCTTAATAGTTAGGATAATTAGACTTGTAAAGATCTTTAGTTTATTAAACCCAGTAATGTTGAGCGTTTATTGAACCTTGAGATAACAATCTCACAGTTAGTTTGAACCGTGTGCTCATTGAATGTGATGATAAATCTTGTAAAAATTGAATCTTTCGACGGTAGGGGCGGCACTAGGGTCTAAAGCTCCTGAAAATAATTTTAAATAAGATCATAAATAGGGACAAAAGTTTCCTCATGTTCTTAAAAACCTAGTGACGCACCTAGTGTACGGTAGTGATTGGATCTTCACTTGCTGAGCTGTCTGGATGCAGCTCATCAGTCGAAAACTTACGATTGCATAATTTTTGTTCACGCTTTGAAATATAATTCCTAAATTCTACTTTTTAAACTAATATCTTAATTTAGATTGAATGAAGATATTACCAATCATATATCACCGGTAACGTTGCATCACTAACATCGTCCATCCATTCATAGCACTACCATCACCCAAAAAGTGATAATGAACAAATATATGAAATCCTTTAAGAGAATGTCATTTTACGCATTTGTGTCTTCAATCTGAATATTTGCCAATTTATTGTGAATCATTTACCAGTGTAATCGCTTTGTTTTCAACTGTTTACTACTTAAATGATCTCATACTTTTGAGCTCACATTAACCCTTATATTCACTAAAAACATAACCGTTCAGCGTCCAGTCGATACTCGTGAGCGTGGGCCGCACAGGCACAGCGCCTGTCCCGACCGAGCAGCGCATGGAGGCTACTGAGTTCATCGTGCATGAAGCTTACTCGTCCAACTCGGGGGTGAGAAACGATATATTAGTAATAAATAGAGCGCTGGTGTGATAGATACGACGCTGGTGTGATAAATAAAGAGCGCTGGTGTGATAAATAGAGCGCTGGTGTGATAAATAGAGCGCTGGTGTGATAAATAAAGCGCTGGTGTAATAAATAGAGCTTTAGATAACAAAGAAAGATATTGGGAAATAAATAGAGCTCTGAGGAATGAGTTCGAAAGTTGGTGTAGAAAATAGACCCTCCAGGCAAACGACGTTGATGCGACGTATAATCATCGTTCATTCAACCAAATAATTTTTATTTCAACGTCTTTTGCCTGGTGGGAGAGCTTGGCATATGAGATTAATTCACCAGAATATTATGATGGAATTAAAAATCTGTGTATAATTTATCCTGATGCTTTTTATGTTTGGAGCCAGTTTGTGCTAATCTTTAGGTCGCCATGCGTTAAATTTAACTGTAAATGTTTTAGCAATTAGCATGCTATTGGTGTTGTAAGTAGTAATAATTATTTGATTATTACTACTTAGGTTCTAACAGAGACAAAAAAATGTAAAAATTCTACCGGCATACTAATTGAATATTAACCTCCTCCAATATTTGTTCATTTATTGCATATTATCATTGGTATTATATATTAGTATAGGTCGAGCCAATGGCCAACGTAGGGCAAAAGGTTATTTAACCTTTACTTTAAATGTTAATTAATCTACTAATGAAGTAACTCCCAACAGAAGATGGATGCAGACATTGCCTTGGTGTATCTGCCACAAGAACTAAAGCTGGGCGCAGGTTCGGGTACCGCGGCTCCAGTTTGTCTTGCCTCTCCTGGGCAATACGAACACCAGGTGGCGGTCGTCACCGGGTGGGGGGCTACATCTTCTGGTGGAGGTACGTTAACTTGAACCTGATGTGACGCGACAAATTTTTTGTTATGAACGTGCCACGGGGAATCTTGTGCCACGAGAATTTTGTGCCACGGGGAATCTTGTGCCACGGGGAATCTTGTGCCACGAATTCGGGGAATCTTGTGCCTCGGGGAATCTTGTGCCACGGGGAATCTTGTGCCACGCGGAATCTTGTGCCACGGGGAATCTTGTGCCACGGGGAATCTTGTGCCACGGGGAATCTTGTGCCACGGGGAATCTTGTGCCACCGAGAATCTTGTGTACCGGGAATATTGTGCCACCAGGAATATTGTGTCACGGGGAATTTTGTGTCACGGGGAATCTTGTGCCATGGCAATTGAACTGAACGTCCCGATGCAAATCTTGAACAGTGAAGACTTTCTTATTTGGAGATCGGATAGTGTATAATTTGTATTCTGACATACAAAGATGCGTATCCTGAGACCTCTCCTTCTTAATTTTCTCAGTCGCTTACCTGTACGAATATGCATTTATACGACTCAAGTTTCTTGTTCAAAGTTAACCTGTAATTTGATCGATTTAGAGGAAATTTTCGTAATCTAAATAGTAAAAGTTTATCCCACATATGAATGAATTTCACAGTCTTTGTTGCAAATAAATTATCCTAAATATACGGAAATTTACCCTTAATACGCTTTACAGGAGTTTCTTCAAGCCTCATGGAGGCAGGGGTGACTGTGACAGAGCTCGCAGCGTGTAGCAAGACCTACGGAGCAGTCGGTCATACCATTACTGAAAATCAGGTGCGAAAACTAAAAAATATGTATCTAAAATTTCATTGTAGTATATAGCGATAAAAACGTAAGTTCTCTTCTTCTCTATGGTGCATCTAATAGGTTTGTAAATGCATATTGTGTGTTGTAATAATGGTATTTTAAGGCAGGCGTCTTCGTACTAAAAGGATGTTAAAGTACTAGGTTATTTTACTTATGACCTTATGATGAGTTTAGGACGTCGTAGTCCACGGTCACGCTGATGCGCCGCCTTTACTGAATGTACTGAATGATACGCCTTTACCGAATGTACCGAGATATTACTAACATAATTCATTCTAAAAGTACAAGTTTACAATTAAAATGACTCACATGAAAAAGAGGTCGCTTTTGCTAAAAAAAAATTTGTGATCAAGTTGTGCGCCGCTGAGGTTGGTCGCGACAGCTGCCAGGGGGACTCGGGAGGACCTCTGGTGACGCAACTCAAGGGCGTCTGGTACCAGGCAAGCGCTTTTAATTAATTAATTAATTAATTATCAAATAAATAACACATTGCAGGGCGTACATAAATTGATACTAAGGTCCATCTAGTTTTATTTTAATTTCTTGAATCTTGAGGCCTTTTTGACACTTCTTCGATTCATCGTTGTGGATCCTAAACCTGATACAAAGAAAATGTTAGTTTAGCATTATTTAAATCGGGTATCTAAAAATTCATCCACATTGACAACGGCTAAAATACAAGACAAAATTTCAGTAATTTTAGCATTTATGAATAAAAAATATTTGAAAATTGCTCATTGATACATATTTTTTAATTTTCGCAGCTCGGAGTGGTGAGCTTCGGCATCGGTTGTGCAGATCCTCAATATCCTGGAGTTTACACACGCGTTTCATCTTATCGGGACTGGATTGCGGCGCGCCTTAGAGGAGGAACCTGCTGATCTTGTTCATTTGTGTTATCAGTGGCATGAAGCACTTCGGATAAGATGAGGAACCTGCTCTTTTCATTCACGTTATTAGTGACATGAAGTTCAATCTATGGGCGGAGAGCCCATAAATTGTGCGACACTGCAATATTTTCAACGAATTTCCCGAATTTAGCGCACTGCGTGGCTGTGTTTTCACGTGTGAAGGGATCATTTTGGCCTTGGGTTTCGACTTAAATATATATAATGTGGATTGCTTCCAGGTAACGTTTGCTTGATTGCACATCTTATACATGAAGTTTTTATATTTGTTCAGCACGTTTTTTTTTTGCAATATGATTACAGGTCCTATTATTTTTCTAGCTGCAAAAATATATTTGCGAAAACTTTTATAAGAAATGCCTCTATATTTTGAGAAACGTCTCGTAATTTGTGAAAATAAAAAGTATGAGTGCACCTTACGTCTCATTGACCACTTTGAGAGTTGAATATAACGCTTAGAAAAACGCCCCTAATAAATGTCATTGCTGTTATTTATATATGATGATTGTGATGATATTGCAAGGTTTTTCTAAAACAGTCCTTAGGTGCAGGACTACTTCGTAGGAATTTTTCGACTATTGTTTTACGAGTACATTATAACTCAGCTCGATGAATCTGACCAGTTCCCTTACGAGGAAACATTCAATTCCATGGACGAGAAAAGGGAAAAGTTCCACATATTCCAAGTATGAACGCGTTCAAGAACAGACTAGATAAAGCTATGGAACAATATATGTTCAGATTTGAAATGCCTAGCACCATATCGAACCCGGTGGAAGTCTAGTAGCTATTTCAAACTATCGTCAGTCATGAAAAGATCCGGTCAAATGACACGATTTTAGATCTTCTGTGAACAAGGCAAGAAAAGGAAAAGAATCGGCGACAGCTAGGCCACGTCAGGCCTACACTTCAGCACCGAGATCAATATGTTATGTTATGTTATGAGTTACGTTATTCACGATCCATACGGAAAAAAATTCGAAAATTGCGACCGAGGTTTGATCGCGGAGGCATAGAGGAAAACGTTAGCGCTTCCCTCTGCCATGTCAGAATAGCATGTTCTGTGAAAAGAATTTGAAAGGGAACTAGAACAACTTTTTACTTCCAGAATTTAATGCTATCAGAATCAATTTTTTTGCCGTCGTGCAATTGAAAGATCGTGGTAAGATCACATTAAACTTCAGACAAATTGCTTTCTTGGAGCGGAAAAAATGATGTTTAACTAGTGAGCCCCGAGTACGAAGAACGCGAGAGCGTTTTATGGCCCGCCTTCCTCTCCCCGTTCGGTAAAATAGGTTCATTCACTATATCCAGAGTTCGGACAAAGTAATGTGTCATTAGAAATTATAGCTCTCTCCCGTCTCCCGCTTTGCTCCGATTTATCGAGTTAAGCTCTCCTTGTGTTTGATTGAAGCGTCATGACATAGAGTAGCGAAGAGTAACGATATTCTGCGTCGAGGTCCCCTTATATATACGTCCGGACTGCAGTTGGGTTGGCGTCGTACACGATTTAAGGAAAGCGCAAATTGCTTAGGTTTTTTGTGAGAGATAGGTTATAACACTGCGTAGAGCAAATTTCAATTTCTTATTTTGTGTTCACCTGCAAGCAATTCAAAGAGTCAATTTCACCAAGTTGTATAATTCCAATACAAATACCAATCATTTCCATAACCGGTTTTGCAGGCAGCAGATTTCTTGCGACTGCTAGGTTTTTTTACGTCCTCCCCCCTCAGTATGGGGTTCCCCAATGCTCCACATCCTGGAGGCAAGTCAGTGTCTGTCAGTCTAGCTTTTAGCGCTGCCTATGGCGGTTGCGACGCCTCAGTAGGAGATCCTTTATGTAAGGCATCAGCGACATGTATGATCTACCAGTCGACGTGGGAAGGGGGCGACAAATGCGGCGCATCAGCACGGGTTTAAAAAAAAAAATCAGAAAGGTTTAAAATTATCAACTTGAATTAGTTGGTTGAAATCCATAAGTCATTGTACAAGTAATTGGAACGGCACTTAATTAAAAAATGTGCAGCTTACACCTATGAAATTCATCAGTTGTTGCACGTATGACGGGATGCTTATTTCGTGGTATATTTTTCTTGTTCAATTGTACGTTCTATTAATCCTGTGCTAGATTAGTGACTAGTCAATTGTTGGTAACATTTATTTTATGACCGTAATATGGAATCTCGTCTAGCTGCGGTGTTTGTAAAATTTAGTTAGTGTCTTGAGACGAGACAAGGTGTAGCTCCAACGTAATTGGTTGAGTTGCTCCTAACCTCGTTTTAACGCGCGCTAGGTAGTCGTGAACGATGGAGAGTTTTATCTCTTTGGAATTAGTTTAAGATTAATTAGATTTTTAACTGTGATTAGTTTGCCAAATGATTAAAAATATGTTGACTTTATTGTATTATATTATATTATCTTTTTTTTTGCACTTCGGAAGTGTTTACAGTCTGTTTTGTACATTGTAAACGGGGTGTTGAGGTAAGCTCATTTTGGCTGAGTAACCCCCTCGTTGTGTGCGCTCGGAAGTTGTGTGTGCTCAGTGTTGCTGGGTTGGGGTGACACGGTTTCGACTCGAAGAAGGCAGAGCCAAATTTGGGCTTCCAAGAAGAAACGCCACCGCAGTTCTGGGCATAACTCTTAACGAGTTCCACTAACGGATTAATAACGGCGTAGGTGGAGTTCTTGGATAGTTCCAGATTTTGGCTGCGTTGGGCGGTTAATAGCCGTTCAATTCGCACCCTCGAGGTCGAGGCTAATAACCTCTGCGCTCGAGTAATTTGTAAGTGGCTTATTGGAGGCTCGTACCCTTCAATGGTCGTGCTTTTGAGGCGTAACTGCCACCCCGGTTTTGTGTTCCTGGCAGTGCATTAGGGCTCGAACCCCTGATCATTGCGTTGGTTGGTCGGCATTGTGGTGCGGCTCGTACCCGTGCCCTTGCTGTCCACCCCTGTAAGGTCGTCAGTTTTGTGATACGGCTCGTACCCGTATCCTTGCTGTCCACTCCTGTAAGGTCGTCAGTTTTGTGGTGCGGCTCGTACCCGTATCCTTGCTGTCCGTTCCTGCGAGGTTGTCAGTTTTGTAGGGCGGCTCGTACCCGTATCCTTACTGTCCATTCCTATGAGGTCGTCAGTTTTGTGGTGCGGCTCGTACCCGTATCCTTGCTGTCCGCTTTTGTGATCCTCAGTAGTTTATTAGGATTTCTCGACGTTGTATCTCTGAGGCTGAGACCCTGTTTCCCTGAGCTTTTGGACCTAATAAATTGTATGCCTTGTACAGAGGAATTGTGTAACGCCCGAAGATCACCAATATATTACGAAAAGTTCCTCGCGTTTATACCTCCCCTCTCCAACGCAAGGGAATTTAGAGCCGGACCAAAGAGCGACTCTTTAGCCCTTGTGTTAAAACCAATACGCAAGTCACCGTCAAGTCGGCACGCTACCCGTAACTATTTCGACTTTGCAGCGGTGTTTCCGGTTACACACGGTTATAAAATGTATAAGTTTCTGAAGTTTGGTCAAAATATTAATAAATTTCTACTAATTATTAACTAGTATCTTAACACCTACCGGTAGTTCGCATCTCAACCTTGAAAGAATGGGCAACTGAGCATACAGCAAAGCGCATTGATAATTCTGAAATTCATTCGGTCGTCACACTAGTGTTTGAATTTCATGATTTTTATTAAAAATCATAGTACACATAGTTGCTGGTGTCACTTAGAATAGAATAGAAGTGACTGCACTGAAGAAATAGGCCCATGGCCTGTTGCTGATTCTTGTATTTTTCGTGTCTTGATTCCACAACCCTATCAAAATTTAGAGTCGCCCCAGCTTCTGGTACCCCAAATCAGAAGCTGGGGCGACTCTAAATTTTGTTAGGGAAGGGACCCGGCTTTTTGAACCCGATCTTTCCTTAACTGACGAATTGATTGAGATAACTGCTGGACTTATTGCAAGGCTCGTAATGTGCTGGGAATTTCAAGACTGAACATGTGCTCCTGCATAGCTTTGTCTAGTCTGTTCTTGAAGACATTTATACTCGGAGCGTCAACGATGCTATCAGGAACAGGAAGCTGTTCCTGTTCATTTGTCCTGTTGGAATAGAAATATCATATGTAATCGATATTTTTAAGATATAGATGCAACTAATGCATTTCCTACATGTTGAAATCAAAATGTTTATTGTTTAATAAGCATGATTTTTTCACTGGACACTAATGATAACCGGATATCCGTAACTCTCCAAGGCCAGATTTACGTAGCCCGAGATTTCCTACGAATTGGAAGCTACGGATGACGAGTGGGGAGAGAGTCAGCGGCGTTCATACGGTAAACACCTTACGATTGTGCTCTGTGATTACTAGAATTCCTCTGAGATTAACGTAAAATTTTCCTCCGTGATTAACGTAATACTCAGAATACTCACACATTTATCAACTTTATTTTGAATTTGCTTTTCTGTATACTACGCGTATATAAGTTAAGTGTCTAATTTAATTTTCAAGAACCCGGCTGGCTTTCTCGCCCCTTCCCCCTCCTCTTCTCTTCATGAGAAGAGGCAGTAGCAGTAGGTAGGACTTAGGAGTAGGCCTGCGAGCCAGCTCAAAGTCTCAAACCATTATTTATATTTAACTCTTGAGTCTCTTGTTGTTATCACTTAATTTGATCATTAGATACCTATTTGTTTCTTGTACTAGTATTGTATTTTCCATCAATTTTATTATGCAATATTATTATAAAATTTAGTTATTTTTTATTTTTCTGTAATTCTGTCATAAACCACCTGTCAATTGACTGTATTTCTGTGTAAACATTTCTTAAGTTTCTGTGTACAGCAGTGAAAGCTCTTGTATTGATACTATTGAAATTATAGCAAAATTACCTGCATGATGTCAGAACTAGGCTCTGACAC